TTAGCAGACTCAGGAGAAAACTCTAAAACAGAACATCTACATGTTTTTATTTTTAATTCATGAAATCAGAAGTCACTCTGCAGTGATGAGAAAGAGGCTGTTTCACTTTATCCGCCTCCGTCAGAAAAACTCTCCTTAATTATAAAAACAGACACAGACAGAAAGTAAAGTCATGATCTTTTTATTAAAACAGAACATTTGAAACTTTCTCCGTCAGTATTTACAAAAGCAGCTGTTTCCCTCGACGAACCAGGATCAGAAATATTCTCTCTTCCACACCGGCAGCTCCTGGAAATACACCTCATCTGGGTTTTCATCCGCTGGACGACAGAAAGAGATTAAACTGAGTTTAAATAGAGGAAAAATCAAGTTCAAACAACTCAAACACAGAGCAAGCATGAGGGTGGTTTTATCTGAAATGAGATTTTTATGACTGTGAAAACAGATTTTTTAGAGTTCGGGAGGTTTAATCCGTCCAACAAACACGACCCTTTAATTAAAAACATTAAAATCACCTTTAAAATCTTCTATTAAAGATCATATCAGTGACTCTTCCCAATAATCGTTTTCAGCAGATCTCCAAATCTGTTGATTCTTTTCGCTCTTTTTACATTTTCCAAACCGAAGATTAAAAATGAAGAAACCGTCTGCAGTCAGAGATGACACATGAGGGGGCGCCGTAAAGTTCCTGACAGGAGCTTTAATAAAACGAGTCTAACTCTCAGATGAGGAGTGAATCTAGGCGGATACGCGTCCCTCACCTCCCTCTCCTCTCGCCTGCTGCAGGAAGTTGAGCAGGACGGTGGCGGCTTGGTCCACGCTCAGCTTCTCCGTGTTCTGACTGCGAGTCTCTGAAAGAAATAAAAACAGCGGACAAACAGCTGACACCGATGATTCCTGCAACAACCGCAGCCACCGCCCAAACTCTGTCAGATTATCTGGATTTTCAGAGTAAAAGACCAAAACAACAGAGATGAGATTTACCAAAAAAAGACTGAACTCAGTTTCCTCTTAAAGACAACAGGAAGTAAACGAGTTTATCTCAAACGTGAAACTCAAGAGACATCTGTGAGGATATAAACATTAAATACAGATTATCATGAATACAAACATGGATCATCAAAGACACCTAATCCAGATTAAAACCGTTTCCTTCAGGATTTTTAAGGATCTCCAACAAAAAAACAAACTCTGACTATAAACAGAACATTTGTGATGAAGTGACGAACGAGACCAAAAAACACGGGGATAATCTCAGACAGGGTCAAACACTCAATCTGGATTATCTGACACCAAACACCAAACTCAGGTGAACTCTGACAGTGTTTCAACTCAGATTATTTCTATTAAAGGAACCAAACACACAGGTCTGTATGTCAGAGATCCTACAGCAAACACAGATTATCTTAGATTAGAAACAAACTCTGAACATGGATTATTCCTGACAGACTTGAACCCAGATGAGCTCTGAAGGCCACAAACACAGACTCCAGTTTGTGTCACAGGTCAGTGCTGCTCAGTCCTTCTCCAAACCTGTTTGTAATCTAGATTATTCCCCAGAATTGAAGTTATTTTTCTGTTAATTTCATGTTTCTGTTCAGTTTGTACCTAAGTGTAATGTGTCATAGACGTCTCCTTCTTTTCGGTCCTCTGAGATGAACCTGCGTCCCTCTGGAAGAAAATTAGAGAAAGCAGCTTTTACTGTTTTGAGGAGTTTGTGTCTGTTTTAGTGTATTTGTGTCATTTAGTCTCAAAGGAGCGTTTTGGCACCGAGACCTTTAATCCGGGTTTATCAGGTAAATTAATATTCTTTTATCACCGGAGTATATAATTACAAGAGTCCCTATTCATTCACTTTATAATGTGGTGCAGTCTACTTCAAATGAAGCTCTCTTGTCTCTCCTCCGAGTGTCTAATCTGAAGGTGAATCAGCGGAGTACTCACGCGTGCCCTTCAGATACAGCATCGCCTGTGGGGTCCAGTTTCTCCGCTGGAAAGATCCCTGAAATAAGGACAGAAAGACATGATTACGGCTGATTCTGTTCGTGACCCGGTTCTTCTGTAGGCTGACACTTTCTGACTCTTTCCCTTCGGTGAAAACTTGAGTTAGTAGATGAATAAAAACAGAGAAATTCAGCTTTACCTTCGGTGCGCTCCGCGACAGTGAGATAGAGGAGGCCAGCAGTAGGAGGGTGAGAACATAAGTGAGTGTGATCGTCTTTAAACCCTGTTGGAGAAAACATGAATGTTAAACTTTATCATTTCTGAGTCCTACAGGAGAATAACGCTCGATTTGGCGCGAGGGTTTCCACGCGTAAAATGAGGATTACGCACAGAATGCGCCCATCAGGAGTCATTTCACCTAAAAACCAAAAACTTCAAACTTGTGATGATTTGAAAAATGTTGATAAGGAAAGTTTTTGTATTATGGAAAGTAATAAAATAATAAAATAAGAACTTTGCCCGGATATAAAAGAGTTTTCCTCAGCTGGTAAAAGATGCGTAAAAACTGAAGATCGGTGGTTTCGCGCTCAAATAAAAGCAGTTTGGAGTGTGGATGAGGATTTTTCTCGGTGATAGGGCTTTCAGTCATTCAGTTTCCAAAGGTGAGATGAGGCAAAAAGAAACAGAATCTATAAGTGTGTCTAAAAACTCCGATTTCTCCTCCGAAAGAAAGCAAAGTGCTGTTCTTACCTTCATGATCTCAGAGATGCTGTGAGTGTGGAGTGGGTGTGGAGTCCTGCAGAGAGGATGAGAGTGTCCGAGGTTCAGGGCTGGGATCTCTCCTCCTGTTTTATATCCTCCGGGGCGGGGATCCCTCACAGCTCGCGCTCCTGTAGCGATAGGTCACGCCAATTTGATGAATCGGAGGCGTGAAAAAAAAGAGAAAAGGTGAATGAACGGATCGATACTGCTCCAGTCAGTGAGCAGGAGAGAGTCCTGTAAATATTTCTGAATTAAAAGAGCTGCCATCAGCACTTTCTGCTCCCCGTGGAGGTTTATGAGTCATGTTGGAGCTGCAGGTCGTGACTGTGAAATGTGGTCCGGCTGTGGGTGATGCTCCTGTGGACATGATGGGTCATAATTCCCCCTCCGTGGGGTTATTGATATGTTTGCAGCGGGGCAGAGGGCTGCTCCTCTGAGGCGGGATTTTATGAATCAAAAGGCCGGAAAATAATGATGAATGGAGCAACTGGAGTGTCATTAACTAAGAGAGAGGAGGAGAGGAGAGGAGAGGAGAGGAGAGGAGGGGTTATTATGAAGACTGAGACCCGGGTCCAGGTCTGCCCAGGAGGAGGACAGAGGTCAGGTCTCTGAGGAAGAAAATAACCAAGTTATGAAGAAAGGATCAATAAAACATGAGTCTGACATTATAATTATAATTATAATAATAATAATTATTATCTGTTTATTTAGTTTTTTCCTGGTTTTGTTATTTAAGTTTATTTTCTGTATTTTCCCTTTTATTCCTGTCCCCCTGTAGTCCAGTCTGACCCTGTTTCCCTCCTGTTCTCTGTGTTTTATTCTTTAGATCAGTTTTCAGTGTTTATTTCCTGTTTTATTTTGTAGGAGTTGATTCCCTGTTTATATTACCTGTTTTATTTTGTAGGAGTTCACTCCTTGTGTTTTACTTCCTCAGTTTTCCCTCCTTCATTAGTCTCACCTGAGTCTCATTTACCTGAGTGTGTATTTAGTCTCTGCCTTCTTCTCTGTTCTTGTTGGTTTATTGTGTGTGTGTGTGTGTGTGTGTGTGTGTGTGTGTGTGTGTGTGTGTCTGTTTGTCTGTCATAGTCAATGTTTGAACCTTTTTGTGTTTTTTTCCTCAGTGCCTTTTTATTTAATTTGGGGATTTTTTTCTTTTGGACATTTCTCTGTTTTTTTTTCATTTAGTTTTTTTTTTTTTTTTAATTAAATCTTTTTGTCAGTTTGCATTTTTGGACCCTTTCCCCTTTGGTTTAACCCTTTGACACTGTCTCTCTCTCATCTCATCATCTCATCTCTCTCTGTTTACATTTTTGAAGCGTCAAATCTGGTTCATCCAGAAGAGTCTCAGGAGTCAAACAGGAAATTCTTCTAACAGGACAGAAGTTTAAAAGAGCCTCAGATTCACGGATAGTTAACAAAAATAAAAACATCTTTAGTTTGGAGGCGGGCGGACGGGATCAGTGAGAAGATTAAAGTTTTTTAGACACGGACAACAGCACAGAGTAATAATACAATGATAAAGACACGATAACAGCTCCTGAACACGACAACATGACCGACTCGAGAGTAAATAATGACTTCTTCATCCGGCACAGACGTGACCTCTGACCTTTGTCTAACAGCTGATTCAGGTGATCGCTCAGGTCAAGGTCTGTTAGATTTGTGTTCCTGTTCACTGGATTGATTTCTCTGATCTCATGCTCCGTCTACACACACACACACACACACACACACACACACACACACACACACACATGAACACAAACACAGACAGATTTTAATCGTCTGTATGAACAACAGAGTGAGATTAACTCTTAAAAGTCACTTTTGTTCGTACGATCATGTTTTCTTCTTCAGTCTCTTTAACTTCAGAAAATGTCGCTGGGTCGATCCGTTCCTCCTCTTTGTGTTGGTCTGTGGTCCGTCTGTGATGCTCATGTGCAGGTGGACAGGGTCAGTGTGTTCCCACAGACATTAAACTGTCTGTTGCGTCTGTTTTCCTTCAACCAAAAGGCTGCTGGGGTTTAGGCTCGCTCGCATCTGTGACTCGTTCAGTTATCAGTCCTGTTTGAGTGTTAAAAAAGAGATTTATTTTTTCAGAAAAGAAAAGAAAACACGCTGATCCAGGTCCAAAACTTTTGCCTGTGAAAAGATGAATTGAGGCTGAAACAGGAGGAGTGAAACGGTGAAAAACGGTGGACAGAAAATGATCAGAGCTGACGACAACAAACTGTCTGACTTCACCGGTGAGATTTAAATGACCCGCCAAACATCCCAAAGCCACGCCCCTCAGTGACGTACCTAGAAATCATATCCTAAACAAACAACCTACACTGTGAGACCACGTTTGTTCAGACACCGTCCTGTCAGAACCAGTTTTTACTCCCTCATTGTTCTCTTCAGTCGGACCGAACAGACCACCTCTCATTCCTCATGTGTGTTCATGAATCTTGACCTCTGCAGACCCAGTTTTGGAGTTCTGACCCGGTGGTTTAACCCTCACAGGATGGTTCTGGTCAAAGCCGCTCACGTCCTCGGACTCCTCTTAAACCTGGTCTTAAAGCTCCTGTGAAGAACTTTCCTCTCGGGTCAGTTTGGACCTCCTGCAGCTGTGGAAGTCGTGTTTCTCTCCTCGGTCAAGTTTCTCTTTTATTTTTTAGTCCATTCATGTTTCATTTCATGTCTTGCATTTCCTGTCTTATTTTGAAATCACTAACCCTTGTTCCTGTCTGGTTCTCGTCACACCTGTTGCCTGATTGTGTCTCCTCACCTGTTTCCCATCATCCTCAGATTTCACCTGGTGTGTCTCACTTCTCGTCAGGATTTAAAACTTACTTTAAACTTCCCACAGAAGAATTAAGGGTGTAATGTTAACGGCTTATTGTATAAATCAGAAATCAGAACACCTCACGGTCTGTGTAAAGTGTGTTGACGCAGCTCCGTATCACCTGCAGCTCACCTGTCTTTGCTGTCCTGTTAGTTAACGGTTATTTTCACTCTTTCTCTGAACTGCTGGTCCAGGAGAACGTTTGTTTGAAGAGGACTAAATGATCTCAACGACAAAAGTAAGTTTTTGTTTTTCAAGAAGGTTTGAAGACGTTAAATCTCGTCACAGAAACCAAAAACTTCAGAGTGAGATTTAAGGCTTCACAATATCGGAAAAAACTAACCCTGCGATATGTGTGACGATATTTAAAAAACAGAGTAATTTTCCTCCTCAGATGACCTGAATCTGAGTTTCTGCTGAAGTCTTGAGGACAGTTAACCTGCTCTGATCTGTTAGTCGACTGTCTTCTGTCTGTCTCAGAGATATTTTAGTTTTTATTGTTCTGGGACGTTACCGTGGAAACAGATGAACACAGAACACGTGTTTTAGTCCACATCATCCTTCTTATAACTGAAACACGTCTTCTTCTTCGGTGGTTTTTCTCACTTCGTTTCTCATTTTACAATCGTCGTTGTTGTTGTTAACGGTGTTGTGCCCAGAATTGCAACCCCTCAGAAACGCGCACCGCTTACAGTAGAGTGGTCCACGTAAATGTAAAATTTAAACCCATACAGTTCTTATTTGTTGGATAAACAGAGATGAGGAATGTTCACAAAGTTATTCTCGGCGGGTATGAGTTTCTCGTCAGCGCCAGCGACTCACTCCATGTTTGGGGGCGTGGTTTCCTCCTCGGGGTTGTCTATCACGCACACGTACATCCTGATGACGATGCTCAAACGATATATCGTGCAGCCCTAGTTAGATTAATCAATTATTGCACTAAAATGTGAATGAAGTGTCTAACTCTAAAGCTGACCGTTTGATCACTACAAACATCCGTCCACTCCTTATTTTAAGCGTTTCTAAATGTCCCTTTTTAACTTCTGTAAATGTGTTTAGTGTATCTGAATACAAATGTTCGTTTTTCTCTGTATATAAAGAGTCAAAGACGAGTCAGAAATAAAGAGCAGGACCATCATGTTGGCAGATACAAAGCTGAATTAAAGTATATTTACAAAAGTGCCATACAAGAAAACATGGTCATTTATCACAGGAAGCTCCACCCTCAACAAAACAGATCCACAGCTGGAGGACTGACCGTCACCTCTCTGTCTGACTATGAGAAGAAGAAGAAATTTGACCTCCTCTTCAAAAAGACAAACGAACAAAGAGAGCAGAGCAGTCTGAACTTTAGGATAAAGAAACTAAACTCATTTAGACGATAAGAAACAGACCTGCAGCGCCACAGTGAGGAGAAGTTGTTGTTTTGTTGTGTTGACGGGTCAGAAGTGTTCAGGAGTGTTTGTTCTAAAACCTGAAATAAATAAAATATATTCTCTAAAAACATGAAGTCAAGAGTTTCTCTGGATTCAGTTAAAGGCGGAGTCGACAGGAATCTGATTTTTTATGGTGTAAAAAGAAAAAAACTTCTGATATCAGTCAATAGTTATTAGTTATTGATGACATTTGGTAATATATCGATATCTCTGTGTTCTCTTATGTCTGTGTCGTCAACATTTGAACATTTTTGAGCGGTCCGCTCTTTCTGACTGTAAACAAAGCCGTTCTCCACCTCCTCTAACCTGATTGGTTGTGAGGCAGACGCTGCTCCCCCGTGTCGTTCAGGAGCCCAAACAAAGTTAGCGTGCTACAATATCGGACAGTAGAAACCAACCAGAAAGTTCGGAAAATTGTCTGAATCCTCCTTTGGCCACGACTGCCGACACAAGCAAGAAAACAAAGTAAATACCGGAGACTCTGGAGGAATAACGGGCGCTTAAAACGGAGGTAGACCGGACAAGAGCTAAAAAGCCGGGTCAACATAAACGATGGGGGACGCTTGGGGATCTTGGTGACCCTGTAACCTTTCTGCTGGACAGGTAAACCGCTTTAACAAAGTAAGACAAGTGTCTGTAACAGAAGTGTTTCTTGTCAAACGGACCTGCTGTAGCGTGTTGTAGCGCCATCGCTAAACTGTCCTCCCTCGGGTCCTGGACTATGTCACTTTATCCTCGTTGTAGAAGTCCTGCAAACATTGTGTTTGCTGGTAGTCTGTTGGCATCTACAGTAGCACCAATGCTTTTGACTTTCACCTTGACTGGGCCCCATTTGTAATGATCTGAAGTATTTATCTGCATTATATCTGAATTTAACTGGAACGATACGAGCGAGCAGGAGCGTCTGTTTGTGGGCGGGGCTTGAGGGGAAAACTGGTTGTGAGGGGTCGAGTTTACATTCAAGATCTCTCCTAAAACTGGAACTTCATCAGATCCTGACTACAACACCTTTTTAAAGAGTCAAATCTGAAAAAAAAATCCAGTGACAGCGAGAAACAGAATTGGCTTTAAATCGTTTATATTTGAAAAGTTTCTTTATGGAGAAACTCTGAGTAACATTTTGCTGCAATACCACAAGTGACCACCGTGTAATAGATGGCGCTGTGGTCGGATCTTTAGTTTCTGGCCCGGCTGTTCAGAAGGTCTAATCTGGATCAGAATAATCTGGATTTGGAAACTTGATTCTAAAATGTAAAGTTTGGATGTTTTTTCAGGACTTCATCGTAGTTGTTCATGCTCACCACTTCATCGAGGACTCCTGTGGAAACCAAAGACCAGGACCAGCTGGAACTCAAACCTGGAGCTGATCGTCTAGAAAGACCTTCATGAAGCTCAGAGACACAAACTGGAGGTAACTTTGATTTTTTTTATACAAAGGCGTGACGTTCAGAAAAAAAAGAAAAAAAAAAAAAGAAGCCCGCTGCAAATAAAAAAAGAAACAGTGCAGATAAAACAAACCAAAAAAAAAAAAAGCCACAACGAAGTAAACGACGAAAAAAAAAATAAAAAGATCGTAAAACACCGGTGCATCATCATTATTGTTCCCCGGCAGTTCACTTCTGTTGTGGCTTTTTTATTTGCATCTTTTTATTTTCGTAGTCAGTAACTTTTTTTAATTTTTTTTCCATTGCCACTTTTTTGTGCGTCGTTAACATCCATTGTGGCTTTTCCTTTTATCTGCACCGTTTCTTTTAAATTTGCAGCGGGCTTTGGTTTCTTTTTTTTTAATTTTGCATCAGTAACTTCCGCTGTGGCTTTTTTTTTTTTTTTTCTTCCATCGGCACTTTTTTTGCATCGTTAACTCCTGTTGTGTTTTCCTTTTGTCTGCACCGTTTCTTTTTGATTTGCAGCGGGCTTCAGTTTCTTTTCTCCTTTTTTTTTTTTGCATTGATAATTTCCGTTGTGACTTCTTTTTTCTCCCTTTTTTTTTTATTTTGCAGCAGTGGCAGTTCGCAGCCACCACAGAATGGAGCCGAAACGAAAGTTTTCATAAACGCCCGTCTGAGTTTTATCATCTGCTTCTCTGCAGGTGTGTCTCAGACTGACCGGTGAAAGTGAGTTTTAGCTGCTGTAGATTTAACCTGTTTTATTTAATATTAATGCTTTTTGATTTAATATTTCATCGAGTCAAAACACTTATTTTTTAAATATTGTTTAAACTTGTGTAAAAGTCGTCTCAGCTGTTCAACCCAAAATAAAACAGTTTGTATGTGTGACCAGTTTAAAGTTGAGTTCATCTGGTCTTATACTGGGACCAGAATCATCCTGTTAATGTGGTTTAAAGTGATCTCAACCCTCCTCAACAGGCTCCAACTAAAACTGGTTTAATCCGGTTCAAAACCCAAACTGGATTATCTAATCTCATCTTTAATCCACAATCCGTTTATTTTCTTAATTTGATCCAAAAACTTGAATCTGATCAGATTACTCTTAAACAGCCGGGCCCAGCTGTGATTTAAAACGAGGTGCAGACACGTCCAGGTGGCCATTTTTTTTTTTTGTGGAGGATGGTAGAGAAAGGTCCCGCCTCCTTCGCCTCTGATTGGCTGTGAAACCTCATCACGCTCAGGCGGAGCGCGGGCTGTCGGCTCTGAACATCGACCAGAACATTACAGAACATTATAACCCGACAGACGACGATGTTTCACAGCCATAAGGAATAACCAATCAGAGGCGAAGGGGGGCGGGACCTTCCCCTACCATCTATGAAAAAAACACCTGCGTCCAGTGTGACCACATGCTTCGAGATACCAGTAAAACCCCATAATATACATAAAGTGAAGCACTAATCAGTGTAAGAATAATTTATCCTGAATTCTCTTCAGCCAACCGTAACAGGAAATGACGTAACAGAAGAAGGGAAACATCACAAAGCGCCACAAAGAGAAACGAAGCGTCGCAGAGTTACTGCGAAGACACTGAGAGCTGGACTGGAAAAGCTTCGTCCAAATCAAGTTAAAGCACAGGCACAGAAACGTGACAGTATGGCACACCGCAGCTCCGCCTCCTCAACGCTCGCTCATCCGTGTTAGTCCGCTCGCTCCTCGCAGGAGGAAAGTCACGTAGACGCGGAGTCGATGGTGCTTCGGGGGCGTCTTCCATCCTCCGTTTTCATGCCAGATGCTCTCGATGGCGAGGGGATCAATAGCACTGGGAGTATTTATTGTAGTGACCTTCGTGACTCCGCCCTGCAGTAACAGACCGGCGGCGTGGCGCTCGGATGAACCTTTGATTGGTGGCGCTGAGCGGTGAAATTACAGACAGACAGGAAGCAGTCTCTGCCTGCTGGAGGAGGGGCTGGGGGTCTGATCAGGTAACCTTTAGCTGCTTCAATCAGCTGATGGGACTTGGTTTTATAAAAGCTCCTCTGGGTTCAAAGAGTCTCTGTTATACCATCGTGTTGCTCTCGCCGACTTTGTCCACGTACTGAAAGAGAGAGAGAGAGAGAGAGAGAGGGCGAGTGAGGAGCTGCCGGCGTCTGTCAGCTTCAAAGAGCGAGCAGACGTGAACAGGTGGAGACGCTGCAGGTGTGACAGAGACAGGTGACAGTATGGGCGCCATTATCAGGAAACATGATGGAGGACATGCAGACCTTAGAGGGACACACGGCAGGAGGAGACGATCGAAACGACTGGACTAAAGTTCGCTGAGTATTCAAAACGTCTGACAGTAAAATCTTATAACAGAACAGATTCACACTTCCTTTTGACACCTAACCCCGAATTCCCACCGCATCCCGAACGGCTCTGAAAGGCGGCGATTTTCACCATCCGCCAATTCCTGCCGGATCCGTTTGTGAGGCGAATTTCATGGCGGATTACAGACAGCAGGAATCGCAAGAACCAATGTCCAACATCGCGCGATAACGAGTTGTCTCACTAAAGACAGACACATAGACATATAAGCAGTAGATTGTGTCCTTCCAGAGGAGGAAATCTACTTCTAGACTTCTAGAATCATCATCTCCTCATCCATGGTGTCATCGGGGTGAAATGACGTCTAAAAACCTTTCACTTGTTCGTCTCCGCCCGTTTGCATGGTGTGAAAGCTACGATCGGAGGATACGACCTTTTAGTCGACGTCCAGAATGAGGTGGAGATTGGGGGGTAACACTCTTTTGGAGTCAGCCTAAGGCGAAACGTCTCAAGTTAGTCCAGTTGTCCTCTCAACGAAGAACTGGGTCTGAACTGAGTCTGTAAACGATCATGTTTTTGTAGTGAGTTCATTTCTTTGAGTTTTTATAAAAGTTTATTTCATTAATACTTCATTAAGTTTATTTAGTTACCGTATTTTTCGAACTATAAGGCGCACTAGAAATCCTTTTGGCTTGTCGGAGCGCTGCAGCTACTGTCACCTCGCAGAGTTACTGAATGAGTTAAATTAAGTTTGACTTATTGACTGTTTTCTTTGGTTTAATGCGCTTTATAATCCGGTGCTCCTTACAGTCTGAAAACTACGGTAACAGTTTGTTTGTGAATCTGAACGTCATCCTCACAGCCTGTTTCTCCTGCCGTGTGTTCCTTCAAAGTCAAACAGAAACATGAAGTTAGGTGTTTTTTCTTCTTCTACAGTGAGACTCTAAAAACACTGTCAAGCGTGATCAACATGTTAGCATGCGAGGGAAAATCGGCAGTGACTGACCACGACTGCTGATTGTCCTCAGAGCCTTACGAAGGCTTTAATAAAAACACAAAGACAGAGAGACATTCACCTCAACACAAAGATTCCCACACAACAGCATGGACGGAGCATGCTCAGTAACCACAGCGCCAACTGTGAGTCCGAGAACTTGGACTGAACAGGGACGGTTCTGGAGGCTCAGTTTGGACTCTTCATGTGATCTATCTGCATGTGAGACCTTAAAAACCACGATACGAGGGGGCTGAGGGGGCAGCGGGTCGGGCTGGTTTGGTTAATCTGTTGTGTTTGTTTGAAGGGGGTGAATAATTATAATAACCAAGAAGAAGAAGAAGAAGAGGAAGAGCCATGCTGGGTGTAAAAACAAAGGAGCAGAGATGCTGCAGCTGCTGTTGTTGTTGTGTTGGACTTACAGCGCTGATGAAGGGCAGGTTCAGGATGGAGCCCAGGACAGGTATTCTTCTGATGAAGCCCACGACCACAGGGAAGAACCCCCTGAAGGTGACGAGAGAGAGAGAGAGAGAGAGAGATGAACATCAACAACACGGATTTTAACACCAAACTGAAGTGAACATTTCCACCATCGGTCTGCGGTCTCTAACTGTCTGTCTGCTGTTTCCTCGAACCTGAACAAGAGGAAGAAGCCGTAGATCTCCAGCACCACTCCCACGATGGGCCACCCGATCAGCACCACGAACACGCCCCCCAGGAAGAAGCTGGTCGCCTTCATTTTGTGCTTCTGGAAGAAGAAACGGAAAGTCCTCTCCAACCCGATGACGAAGGCGAGTCCAGCGACAAACAGGATCTACAGAGACGGACGTGAGAGAGAGGTACAGTCTTTGTTTTTCGTTAAACGGCTTTTTCTTTATCGAGAGTGAAGAATCGGCTTCATTTGACGTATCTGATCACTGAACCGTCACGACAAAGAGGAAGAAAACGCCGTCTGCTATAAATCTGCTTTTTAGGACCAGAAAAGAAGTGTAGATTTGTTTAAAAGAGACGAGTCTGAAACCTGGTTTAATAAGTCCTGAGGGTCTGATCAAGACTGTCCTGATGTGAGACCAGATGAGACCTGATAACTGATCATTAATGAACTGCAGGTAGGGGTTAGGGTCTGCAGAAAACGAGCTCACTAATTTAGAATTTGGGCGGTTCTGGTGATCGAGTTTGTTTAGGAGCTGTAGATGAATAAAACAATTAAAACTCAAGTTGAAATTAAGCAGGATAAGAAGTCAAAGTGGATAAGGATCAGTAAGAGATTTATATAGTTAAAAACAGTTGAGATTAAATGAATGTAAAATTAAATAAGAAATGTAACGCTGGAGTCGAAGGTGGAGGATTTTGTTCACCCTGGACTCCATACAGTCTGTGGTGTTGTACCTGAAGAAAACCAGGGTTAGAAAGAGAAAAATACAAATTGTGACGATAAATTAAAAGTCAGATTGACTCTAAATTAAAATTACTATGATAATAAAGTCAAATAAGCAAAGTTCTCATAAGTAAAATAAGGATAATAATAAGTATTGTGTTTAGAATAAAACTGAAGAATATATGTTAAAGTTCTAGTCTTATCTATGAAGGAAAGAAGATTTTTTCTCCTGGTTTAAGTTTTAATTAAACTTCTCATGATAACAACAGAAGAACAGAACAGCAAACAATTTAAAAATGTAGGATAAAAATCCACCGTGTACGTACAGCTCCATGTGTTTTTAAAGAGTGTGGGGACCTGCTGATATGGGGGGGGGTGTTACACCTGTCAGTTTCTCAGCATCACAGATAAAATCAGAGGAACGAAAACTCACGTTTCCAATCGCCAGGAGAGCTTTGTCAAAGAACAGGATCATCCCGAAGAAGAGGAAAAACACGCCGAAGCCTGTAAGCCCCATACCGATCTCTGCAGGACACACACACACACACACACACACACACACACACACACACACACAACAGAAAGGGTAAATTAACACACTAAAATCTATTTTTGGGGTCATGATGCTCCAAATTAGGGCTGGGTGATATGGGACAAAGTTAATCATGAGATATTTGTGTTCATATCAGCTGATATCGATCAATATCAGGGTCCACATTACTCTGCTTCATGTCCGACCTCCAAAAACCAAAATACCTCCACACCACCGACGTTTTCCTAACGCCAGTGTTGTGGTTGACATTGATGTGGTCATCTGTTGAGCCTTCATGGTCATTTCTGTCGGGGGTAGCACTCATTTTCTTTGTTTCTCACCAACAGTGCTGTCGGCTTCACCTGTTAAAGTGCTATGGTTGGGTGGAGCTGCTGTCTGCTACGACGCTGCAGTTGGTTGATACTTGGTTCTAATTCAGAACATGATTGGTTCAGACCCGGAGAAACTCCCCTTTTCATTGGCTGTTCGTATAGTCGACCAAAACATGGCAGAATGACGACTATTGATAAGCATATTGATCATGTTTTATTCTGATATTGAGGGAAACTAATTTTTGATATATATCGTTATCGTTTTATCGCCCAGCCCTACTTCAAATGTTTTCAATGGGGAACAAGTCAGGACTGCATCAGTCAGGACTCTTCTCCTACAGAGCCATGCTGTTGTCAGATTGTGGTTTAGGATCATATGAAGGTCATCCCTCCAGAGTCCTGTCTGAGATCATGAAGATCACGACCATCGTTAACATCGTTCTTAGACAAGTTTAGATGCAGATTTAAACATTTATTGTGTTTTAATCTCAGACATCAGAACATGAGTGTTTTATATTCCTTATATATACACTAGTGAATGTTTATCTAAATCCCTCTCTCTCTCACACACACTCCTCTGTAACAGTTAAACAACCACAGAGAAACTGAATCAGGTTTATATTCTTTAACGGCAGCAGCTCCGTGTTTTTCTCACTTTCTTCACAAAGATTAAAAAACTTGTTCACTTCTTTGATTATCACAGACTAACAGGACAAACATCAGTGTCAGCGTCAGAGTGTTTTTCTGTTTTTATCCGGTCAAAAACACACAGAGAGGGAAGTTTGTTCCTCAGCACCGAGAGCTAACTGCTGTTAGCATCCTCTAACATCAGAGCCGGTTAGAAAAACACAGAAGAAGAAGAAGAAGATTCATAAATATAATAATAATAATAATAATAAAAAGTCTTACTTTGGGAGTCCGTTAGAGAAATCATTGTGGCGCTGAAATAAAAGATTAAACAGAAATAAAATAATGAGAGTTAAACTATGTTAGCTCTCCTCTCTAACAGTAATAATGTTGATGACAGCTGCCTCTGCAGCAGCTACAGCCACGTCTTCCGGAAACACACCTTCTCACGATGTCAGCTTCCGGAACAGCGCAGTGATGCGTTCACGGAACATCGGACATTTCAAGACGTGTAATAGTGATGGTGATCCCTTTCTTTCTTTCTTTTCTTTCTTTCTTTTCTTCTTTATTTATCTAACATTTTAACAACAAAAAAAAAGAACGAAATAACACATATGTAGACCAAACAACTGTACATGTCAACAATAAATCTACACAACATATGTTTGTCAAAAATAAACAGTTTGAGAGGAAACAGAATGAAACAAAAAGCTCATCTAGTCCTGACCCTTCCTTGCAAATTAGAGATTAAAAAAGGTTTGTCATTTAGGCTCATTTCCAGTTAGAAGCGGGAGACTCTGTATTTATGAAAAAACGACTAAATATGATCTCAGTGTTATGAGATAAAAGTTCATGATTATGATAAAGTGAGAAGTATCAAAGAATATCAATCAACTTTATTTCTATAGAACATTTAAAAGAACCACGGGGGTAGCCAAAGGGCTGTACATTGCGACATAAAAATAAATAAAACAAGCAAAGAACAAGATAGAGCGAGCAAAAATACATAAATGCAATAAATAAATATATAATTAAGCAGGCTCACGGCAAGTGCAACTACATTTTTTTTAATCTCATGACTTTAATAACTGTATCATAAATATGACGAAAATGTTCCTAAGTTCGACTAGTTATCTCATAAACAGACTCACGATTAAAAATTTAGTGGAAAGAATTCTTTTTACATTTTATTTCCCACCGAACAAGTTTCATGAACGCATCCGTCTGTATGTATTATTCCCTGGGTTTAGTCTGTCAGGCATCATCATGGCGGGCTCACTACAAATAGGTTCTCTGTAAATTCTAGGCTAGACGGCTGGATGACTCTATGAGGTGGAGTCAGCGGCGTCCCTTCACGGCGGCCATCTTACTCCAGTATACCATTCTGACGGGAGGTGAGTAATCTACATGATCAAAAATCCTCTTAACTCGCTGAAATCTTGACAGATTTATAAATGGTTTAGTTTAAACAGACCTTAATAACTTGACTGTGAGTCGGGATATATTAAAATGGCAGATTTACTTTGAGAAAAAAAGACTTCATCATGAAGAACAGTTGTTGCTATTTGCGCGCAGTGGCTAACTTTGAGTCCCTTATTTATTTAGTCTAAGTGTCAGTCTTGGATGTGCTGGATGTGGATGTGCTTGTGTTTATCAGCTGTCTAACTTGACTAACAGACTCGCTGTGAGTGAGACCAAGTACATATTACAAAGTTGACCCAGTAAATTTACATCAGTTAAAGAGGCAGAAATGCTCTTTAGATTCAACAAAACTGAAGTTACACATGATTTCCAAACTGTTTGGTTTGTTAAAAACATCTAAAATGGAAACATGAGGCAGAAATTTATACTGAAAATAAATATTTATATATGATATTGTTATCATAGTTATCCTTATAATAGAAATATTACTAATGTAACATACATGGAATGATTAAATGTTTTAAATGGTTTAATATAACTACCTTGTGTGTGTAGGCCTATAACTATTGCCCTACCTATCTGTTTAATGTTTATTTATGTATTTATCTATGGTTAAAGTTATTCTTTAGTATACAGGAACATAACTAAAACTCTGAGGTTTGTTACAAACCAAACTGTTTAAAAATCAGTTTAAAATTAATCAATCTATGGTTATTTAAATGATACATGAACCGTAGACTGGAATGTTAGGAGTGGGAGAGCTGACCTTAGTAAGATGGCGGCCATGCACGGAGGTCGGTCTCCATTGGCTAGCAGCGTGCGTGAGTCATCTAGCGTTTATATGTCTATGGTCGTCGTCGTGTGTAGTTCGCCTCGCAGTCAGAACTCTGGGTACTTAAACACCGAACCTCTCACCTCTGACCCTGTTCTGGCGGCTCCGTCAGTCTCTCATGGTTACCGTGAAGTGGATTCAGCAACAAGAGAGGAAACTGGAGCGGACCGGACGGGTTTATGAGGGTGAGTCGATTTATGACATGAATCTTCGAATAGTTCTCTTTGTTAAACCTCGAACTTTTAAAGGAGAACTTTAAAGAGCCTGTTACCGTGTAGTTAGCCACAGAAACAGAAACTGTAACGGTTCTGAGACCCAACAGGATCCTTCACAGTCCGGGTTCTGGACGGTACCAGCTATCAGCTAACAGTTTGAGGATCAGGTGTAGTCCTGGTTCGGTTCTGATGAGTTAGCTAATGTTAAGATGTGTTTAATCCTGTTAAAGGAGGAGAAGCAGGTGTTTTATCTCCTCCTGTTTAAACAAACTAACCTCATTAAAATACTGAGTTTAGATGAACATTAATTTAGATTATTCAGATATTAAATGTGTTTTTAATCGATATCTATATTCAAAATAAGCGTTTCTAAATTCTTGATGATATCCTGCTTTGATTCTGTGTTTCTGTTTCATTTTCAGGTGTTTTTTTTTTTACTTTATTTCTTTTTTATGGAGCAGTTTTTAAGATTTATTAAAGTTTTATATGAATATTTACAGTATGAGTAAAATCCTCTGAGAATTGAATTAAACACTTTTTAAAGTTGAGTGTTAAAAATACTTGAAAACTGAACTATTAGTGTGGTTAGATTTTCCTTTATTCATCCCTCAGTGGAGAAATTAAGTTGTTAACAGCAGAAAACACACACATTTATACCGGGTACAAAAACACTAATAAATAAGAAAGAACTACGGTTAAAAAAAGAAAGAGAGCAGTGCAATCGAAGAACAGTATTAAAGACAAGAAGAGGAAAAAAAAGATCAGTGCCAATAAAAAAACAGGTATTTATGTGATTATTTTGTTTTTCCTTTTTAGTGAATCGGCCTCATCGACAGTCTGCAGGTCGGCGTCTCCCTGAGGTCTTCAGTCCCTAAAACATGGACGGTTTAAGCAGATCTAATGGTGGGTTTGTTCTTTCTCCTAAATAAAGATGTTTTTTTTTATTTTTTCTCTGAAGTAGGGGAGACTGGGGTAGGTTGAAATATCTGCAGATACACGAGTTAGAGACAAAACTAGGACTGACCTGATGTAGAGATCTAAAATATGAAACATGGATCATCTGACCCCGCTCTCCCCTACCATACATTTATTTATGTGTATGAAAATTGATCCCAAACTCCCGTGGACCGTGGCTGTTTAGCTGTACACTGTCTGTGTGAGCTGCAGTTGTTTTTATGGTAAGACTGTGATTTGATGAGGACTAATGACGGATAAGACCGGACTCAGGAGACACCAGAGAGGCACAAAGAGGAGGGCTGAGACCATTAGCTGAGGAGGTGTGACTCTCAGAGGATTCGTACCCGTGCAGGTGTGAGACCTGGCTGCTTCCTGCCATAGTAACCCATTATTATCACTCCCAACTACACCTCACTGTGTCTGATAGCAGCCTGTGTGAAACGTAATGATAATAAACACGAGTCGTGTCATTATAAAACTCTAAGATAAGATTTTAACCAACACTAACAGACGCGAGAACATCACTCCTGTCCTCAGCTCCCTTCATCGTCTTCTCGTCTCTTTTAGGATTGATTTCAAACTTTTAATGTTTGTTTTTAAAGCTCTTAACGCCCTCGCCTCTGTCTATTTAACTGAGCTTTAACAGAGCTCTGAGGTCGTCAAACCTGGAGATGTTCAGGTCAAAACACAAACACTGAGCTGACCGAGTCTTTGAGAATAAACTCCCAAACGAACTGAGACTTATCGCATTGTATTTTATCCTTTTAACATTTACATTTAAGATAAGATAAGATAAGATAAACCTTTATTCATCCCACAGTGGAAAATCTGCCGTGTTAACAGCAGAAAAGGATCGTTTAACTGAGATTAACGTAACTCTTTGTTTCTCGAAGCCTTTAAGTCTTCACTCAAGAGTCTGCTCGATATCTTTAATCTGCTGGTTTTAGTCTCACAGTTTCAGACCGGAGCGGTGTGAACAGTGGTGGTGGTTTCTGTCTAACTGGAAAAAAACTGTGGATCAAATACTCCGTCCAAACTTAAAGGGATATTCTGCCGTAAAATTAATTTAGAGTCAAACCCACCGTAACCCCGAGTTAGACCCCTCCTCCAGAGATGAATGTTGTCGACCGCTTCCTTCTCTAGTTATACCAACTTTAGTAACGACCGCAGGATAGCAATACAGAGAGACATGCCCTCAACCACAGACTACAGCGGGGTGTCTCAGCTCAAGGAAGAACATTTATGATAATTTCTTCATAGAAATACAATCAGACCGAGACGCTAAGACAGAAGAACTACCGCGTCTGAAAAATGATCAATATGGTGATTATTACTTCAAGGAAACGATAAAGAAATGATCATAAATGTTCTTCCTTGAGCTGCGGCACCCCGCTGTAGTCTGTAATGGACTGGCCTGAGGTCTCTCTACAAACAAGCGGCTGCTGGAAGAGAGTAGGTGAGTTGTGTTTAGTCTCTTTGCTAAAGACATGAGTCAAAGTTATAAAGATGTTTGGTGTCTAGTACTATGTCTGTGACCCTATATGTACTAACCTCAGTAGAACATGGTGTAGTTCTGTTCAGTAACAGAACCTCATTGGAAAATTAGCTGATTTAACTTTACTGTGCTCTTGTTCAAATATATTAACTCGACAGCACATAAATCCATACCTGTTAACAAAATCATGATTTTATTGATAATTCGGCTCAATAAAAACACCTTTACCTTTTCATTTTACTACAGTAGAAGTTTATTGGCCCAGCTTATAGACAACAGAGGTGGAGAAATGCCCCCGCTTAAGTTGATGTTTTCTGAATAAAGTACTATGTCTGTGACCCTATATGTCCTGTTGATGAAGTTAGGTGCTGTTCTGAGCATTATTTGTGGCTATAGAGTGGCGTTTTGGTTGGGGGCGTGGCTCTCTGTATTGCTATCCTGCGGTCGTTACTAAAGTTGGTATAACTAGAGAAGCAAGCGGTCGACAACATTCATCTCTGGAGGGGGGGTCTAACTCAGTGTTATGGTGGGTTTGACCATAAATTAATTTTACGCTGGAATATCCCTTTAAGATCACTGGAAGAAACTGTAGATCAAATACTCCGTCCAAATTTAACATCTCCTCAGTTTCTTTTTTTACAAAAACTTCATATTTCAGGATGTGGGAAAAATCTTCTGTTACGCCGTCATGACTCCAGAGACTTTGGATATTTGATTTTAATAATGTGTGTGTGTGTGTGTGTGTGTGTGTGTGTGTGTGTGTGTGTGTGTGTGTGTGTGTGTCTCAGATGTTCAGGCTCAGCTGGACTCGGTGGAGGAGGAGCTGGAGCTGGTGGAGCTGCAGATCTCGGAGCTCCTGCAGAAACAGGCGGAGCTGACGGCTCAGAAGAACTCTCTGCTGCAGCAGCTGGAGAACGCCTGTGACGCCGCTCAGCCTTCATCCTCCTCATCCTCGTCCTCCTCAAAGTCCTCTAAAGCAGATCCCGCGATGAGTAAGCAGGAGTTGAAGCTCTACGACGGCACAGGTATTCTGCAGGTGTGGAGGAGCCGTCAGGTCACAGGTGAGTTTCTGTGGTAACACTTTGGTGTTTGTTAGATTTCCCGTGGTCCAAAGAGGTGGAGCAGCACCTGAAGGACTCGTTCCACCTCTCCAAGTTCAGACCGCTGCAGCTGAGGGCCATCAACCTGAGCCTGTCAGGCAGAGATCTGTTCTTAGTGATGCCCACGGGACGAGGGAAAAGCCTCTGCTACCAGCTGCCTGCAGTCAGCTCCAAAGGTAAAAATCACCCACACGAGTGAACACCAACGACCGTCACGACTCTTCATCTTCTCTCTGCTTCTCTGTCTGCAGGTTTCACGCTGGTCGTCACCCCGCTGCTGTCTCTGATGGAGGACCAGGTCATGTACTTGAAGTCCATCGAGGTGTCTGCAGCCATGCTTAATGCGTCCAGCAGTAAGGTGAGACGGGCGCCGTGTTTGTTTCACTTCAGCTCCTCTCTGAATCTGAGTTGGCCTGTAACACCAACATGTATGTTTTTTTCAGGAGCACGCCAAGACCGTCATGGCGGGGATGACGGACCCAAAGTCCCCCTTCAAGCTGGTCTACGTGACTCCAGAGAAGATCGCCAAAAGCAAACTGCTCATGTCTCGTTTGGAGAAATCTTACAACGCTAACCTGCTGAGTCGTATCGCCGTGGACGAGGTTCACTGCTGCAGTCAGTGGGGTCACGACTTCAGACCAGGTGAGGGGGGCGCCTCATGATCCAGGGTTAGTTTTTAAATCCTCCAGACTCTATAATCCTGTCGGCGTTCTCCTCTGCAGATTATAAACTCCTGGGCATCCTGAAGAGACAGTTTCCCAAAGTCCCGCTGCTCGGCCTCACCGCCACGGCGACCAGCAGCGTCCTCAAGGACTGCGAGAAGATCCTGTGTGTGCAGCAGCCAATCACCATCACCGCGTCCTTCAACCGCACCAATCTCTACTACGAGGTGGTTACCACGGCAACTCGACTCACCGTGTCTGCTGACTCGCCTGTTTTGACCTTTCGCCGCGAGGTCACGTGTTCGTCCTCTCGTAGAAACGTGGAGGGAAGATCCGTCTGAAAGTTCCTGATATTTTTACTCTGAGTTTAATTTTGGACTCAAACTCTGTCAGTTTTAGTTTCACTGTAAATATGAGGTCACGTCTGACCCCCAATTTCCACCGCATCCCGAACGGCTCGCTATGATTTCCAGTTCTTCGTTGAAAGGACAACTGGACTTACTTGGGACCAAGTTAGTCCAGTTGTCCTTTTCCAAAAGAGAGTTAGATTTTGATTTTGATCCTCAGAGGAACGGAAAGAAGTCGGTGTAAATTGACACGTTAACTTGAATGGTTACGATCAGCTACGATCGGAGGATACGACCTTTTAGGAGACGATCAGGATGAAGGTGGAGATCGGGGATGAGAGTCCCTGTGAGTCCGATCGCTGGTCCTGGTCCAGTGTTGTTTTTGGCAGGCATTTTAGATTTAGTTTTAGTCTTAGTCATTTTGACGAAATGCTTCTTCGTTTTAGTCCCATTTTAGTCATTTCTATCCTTGATAGTTTTCGTCTAGTTTTAGTCGACGGAAAGGTGCCTTTTGAGGTTCGTGGTGTTCTTTCCCGACAGTTTGAAGCCGCAGCATGAGGAAGCTGTGGCTCCATAACTGTCGTCTGTCTCGTCTCCCCGTCCCCGTACAAGACATTGTGTTTTATTGTCACTTGAACTGTATCTGAAGTAGGACCAAAAATCATCCCTCTTTTTTAGGCCACCGGGTACCGCTGCTGTGCCTGCCGCCACGGTGTGTGTGTTTGCGCGCCTCGTCCACCTGCCGCTCTGTGTATGTGTATGAGTGTGTGCGCGCAGCTGTGAGCGAGCGAGGCTTTTGGTGCGTTTGTGATGGGGGCGTGACTGTTAGGACAAAAAAAAAGCATGTTTTGAAACTTTGTTCGTCCACCTAATAACAATTTAGTCTCGTCTCGTTCTCGTCTGACGAAAATGAATACAATTTTCGTCACATTTTAGTCTTTACAGAGCTTTGGTGACGTTCGTCTTAGTCTCATTTTCGTCAAGGAAAAAAGGGGTCTGACGTCGTCATTTAAGTTTTCGTCCTGCCTGACGAAAACAACACTGTTCTGGTCAGACCAAAAACTGGACCCAACAGCCCGAGTCCTGAACTTCTGTTCCCTCGCTCTGCTCCAAAGACCTTCAGGTCTTCGTCGTGTCTGTGACGTCGAGCTGAATTCTTCTTCTTCTGGGAACATGAAGAGTCTGTTTTTTTCTATTTCAGGTTCGAATCAAAGACTCCAATAATGAAGCGTCGATCAATGACATCGCATCTTTGATCAAGAGCAAATACAAGGACCAATCAGGTACAGCGTCTAGACTGCGTTATTCCTGGATCTACGCTGTGATTGGTCAGGACTGATGAGGTCTGACTCTGTTTCTCTCTCTGCAGGGATCGTGTACGTGTTTTCTCAGAAGGATGCAGAGTCTGTGTCGTCTGAACTGCAGAGCAGAGACATCGCGGCGTATCCTTACCACGCTAACATGGACCCCGGGGACAAGTCCCGCGTTCACCGTAAATGGACCTCCAACAAGATCCAGGTATGGCGGCGTTCGCTGGTGTTTCTTCTGTCCTGTGCGGTTTCACAACAACGTGTCGGAATCAACGAATCAACAGAGATGATCTAATTTTTTTCTCTTCAGCTGCAAAAAGTCTGAATCTCTCAAATCTCATCTAAACGGAAAAGTGTCTCCTTTACATGCTGCAGTACCTCTCTGTGTCCTATAGGTGGTGGTAGCCACCGTGGCGTTTGGTATGGGCATCGACAAACCTGACGTCAGGTTCGTCATCCACCACACCATCAGCAAGTCCATCGAGAACTACTACCAGGAGAGCGGGCGAGCGGGTACGAGTGATTCTCCGGTTTCAGGACGAGGGTTCGAACAGTTTTAGGTCTGAGCAGAAGAACAAGAACACGGATTTTCAGATGATTCTCTGTCACAGTGACCTCGTCTGAAACGGTTTTATGTTTTTAGTTTTACTCACGTGAAGTTCAGCTTCTCAACAACAGACTTTCAGGAGGAGTTAAATCAGAGATCAGCGAATAACGGCAAATCTTTACACGACTTCACTCAGGTTAGAGTACCAGTTAATCCCAATACAGATGATTAAAGTGTGTGTGTGTGTGTGTGTGTGTGTGTGTGTGTGTGTGTGTGTGTGTGTGTGTGTGTGTGTGTGTGGTCTGCAGGCCGAGACGACCGTCCAGCCGACTGCATCGTCTACTTCGGTTTCTCCGACATCTTCAGGATCAGCACCATGGTGGTGATGGAGAACGTCGGCCAGCAGAAGCTGCTGCAGATGGTCGACTACTGCCAGAACGTAGACAGGTAACATGCACGCACACACACACACACGCACACACACACACATCCTCTCAGTTCTCCACACTGAGTGTTTTTCTCCGTGTGCAGGTGTCGGCGCTCTCTCATGGCGGTTCATTTCGATGAGGTCTGGGACGACGAAGGATGCGACCAAATGTGCGACACCTGCCGCCATGCCAAAGGTGTGTTCCTGCGTGTGCACGTTTAATGACTGCATGTGAGACGCTGCAGATCTCAGAAAGACAACAGTTTCCTGTCAGAGGAGGAAAAATCAACCACTGCAGAGACACACGATGAAAGTGAAAGACAGGGACAGACTGAGACATACAGAGACAGAGACAGACAGGGACAGACAGGGACAGACAGAGACAGAGACAGACTGGAACAGACTGAGACATACTGAGACAGACAGAGACAGACTGGGACAGACAGAGACAGACAGAGACAGACTGGGACAGACTGAGACAGACTGGGAGAGACTGAGACAGACTGGGACAGACAGAGACATACTGGGACAGACTGAGACAGACTGTGACAGACGGGGACAGACAGACTGAGACAGACAGAGACAGACTGGAACATACAGAGACAGACAGAGACAGACTGGGACATACTGGGAGAGACTGAGACAGACTGGGACAGACTGGGACAGACTGAGACAGACAGACAGAGACAGACTGAGCCATACTGGGACAGACAGAGACAGACTGGGACATACTGGGAGAGACTGAGCCATACTGGGACAGACAGAGACAGACTGGAACAGACTGAGACAGACTGGGACAGACAGAGACAGACTGGGAGAGACTGAGACAGACTGAGACAGACAGAGACAGACTGGAACAGACTGAGACAGACAGAGACAGACTGGGACATACAGAGACAGACAGAGACAGACTCGGACAGACTGGGACAGACAGAGACAGACTGAGACAGACTGGGACAGACAGAGACAGACTGGAACAGACTGAGACAGACTGGGACAGACTGAGACAGACAGAGACAGACTGGGACATATGGGACAGAGAGATATACTGAGACATACTGGGACAGACTGGAACATACAGAGACAGACTGAGACATACTGGGACAGACTGAGACAGACTGGGACAGACAGAGACAGACTGGAACAGACTGAGACAGACTGGGACAGACAGAGACAGACTGAGACAGACAGAGACAGACTGGAACAGACTGAGACAGACAGAGACAGACTGGGACATACAGAGACAGACAGAGACAGACTCGGACAGACTGGGACAGACAGAGACAGACTGAGACAGACTGGGACAGACAGAGACAGACTGGAACAGACTGAGACAGACTGGGACAGACTGAGACAGACAGAGACAGACTGGGACATATGGGACAGAGAGATATACTGAGACATACTGGGACAGACTGGAACATACAGAGACAGACTGAGACATACTGAGACAGACTGGGACAGACAGAGACAGACTGGGACAGAGTGAGACATACTGGGACAGACTGGACTTTGTTCATTAGGCTCTTAAATAAGAAAGTCTTTCCAAGTTCCCATGTGACCTGATTCCCTGCAGACTACAGCACAGTGGACATTACCCAGCATGCCCGGCAGGTGGTCGAGATCGTGGAGCTGGCGACGTCGCTGGACGAGAAGCTGACCCCCCTGAAGCTGGTGGAGGCGTGGACGGGGAAGGGTCCAGCCAAACGCAGGAAGATGATCCAGACCACCTCGCTGTCCCGTCTGCAGGCTGAGGCCGTGGTGGTGAAGCTGCTGCTGCTGGGATACCTCAGGTCCGCCCTCCTCTTCATCCTCATCTTCATCATTTTTCTCATGTGTTTAATTCTTATTGGCTCGACTCTCTCAGTTTGTTTTCAGCCAATAGCAGCAGGTTTAAATAAATGTAGTCTTTATAACCTTTTATCGGTTTCCCTCAGACGTCCGTCAGGTTTCTGGAGGTCTTGTTTGTCAGTGAGTTTCTCAGGTGTGTGACCTCCACCTGTGCCTTCTCCTCAGGGAGGACTTCAGCTTCACTCCCTACACCACCTACTTCTACCTGAAGCTGGGCCGCAAAGCTCCTCTGCTGAAGAGTCCGACTCACACGGTCAGCATGACGATGAGACAAACATCTGCAGCCGTAAGTAAACGCCGCCCGGCGTGACGACAGGAGAACCTCGTTTTATAGTTTTGACCGTTTAGAAAAAGTGTTTGTGATATCTGAGATGTTCCTCCAGTCGGTCTGCTCTCTCTGTGAAGTTTTTTAACCGTTTCTTCTTCTTCCACTGAAACGTTGTCGTGTCTTTCCTCTGTGTTTGAAATGATCTCTCTGTTTCTGTAAATCCTCTCAGGTAAGTCTGTGAATCTCACCTCAGTGCTGTTGTGACTCTGATTCTGTTACTCTCAGTCTTTGATTTAGTTTTTTAAGATTTTACAGTCTGTGAAGTTTTAGATTAACCTTCATAAATCTACTGACCACGCTCATCAGCAGCGCTCTAACACGGTGACTCCTGCAGCTGTAGTCGTAGATCATCTCAGTCTTCGATCTGAAATCACTTCACTGAAGAGAACAATGATGGAGGTCTTTTTAAAGTGTAAAATCAGACGAATCAGTTTCACTCTGAGGGATTAGAGACGGTTAATAAATGAAAAATGAGGAGACGCTCAGCCGCTGGGATTCTGTGTCCGTGTCCTGGTCCCCCTCCCTGTCGTCTCTGAACCCTCTCAGGTAAAGCTTGTTGTTAATGACCCGCAGGGAAAAGCCAAAGAGGGAAAGAGATCAGTGCAAAGTGCTGGAGACGCCCCCGTGTCCAAGAAAGTCAAGACAGGCCTCCCCTAACCCCCCAAAGCCGAGGACGAGCAGACAAAGTACAGTCCATCCTTCCTTCCTCTGTTTCCTGTCCTCACTCTGACCTCATGATCCAGAGAGTCTGAAGCATGGCACCGCAGAGAAAAACTGTCCGAACCAGCGAGACACGGAGGCATCACCTCCTCCTCCTCCTCCTCCTCCTCCTCCTCCTCCTCCTCCTGCTGTTAGTTTTTTTATTTAACTTGATCTTTAAAGACAAAAACAAAGTTTATTAAGATGATTGACAACTTCGGCTCCATCAGAGAGAGTGGGACGCTGTGGATCAGGGGTGGGAGGAAAAATCGTGTTTTTTTGTTTTACAATTTTAAAATTGACTTTTTTTTTATTTTTCAAATTTAAGAATAAATCTTAAAAACTGACCTACATGTGATGTGTGTTTTTGGGGGAATCTGGTTCCTTGAACAGTCCGTAGACGATCATAATCAGTCAACTGTTTCACAAAAACAACTGTTTAAAGATCGAGAAAATCGACAATATCGTAGAATCGTAATTTAGATCGAATCGGCATCAAAATATCGTGGAAGATTCGAATCAGGAGAAAAGCAGATCGTCCCAGCCCGACTGTGGATGTTGATAAAATCTGGTTTTCAGGTCATTTAAAGTTTTAGAAACAGAAGTTTAAAATGTTTAAACTGGAAAAAAAAAGATCTAATATTTATGAAAAGATGATTTTATGTCAGCAACAGGTTTCTAAAAGTCCAGACAGGGACGAGTAAACTAAGACTAGATGGTCCTGATCTTCAGGGTCTTAAAAACAGACAAACTCTGGAGTGGAAATCACTTTAAAACCCACTGACTGTGAACACAGACCATCACTGCGTTTGTTTGGAAAGGACAACAGTTGTCCTTTCAACGTAGAACTGGAAATCATAGATGCTGCATCCTCAGTTTTAAACAACAGGTTTAGGAGCAACATCTGCGTCCATCCAGACAAAGAGTTTTTTTTAGGGAAGACCTTCAGATGATCCCAAACCACATTCTGGCTCTGGCTGAGAAGAGTCCTGGACTGAGGCGGTCCTGATTTGTCCCCTATAAGGAGGATCGTGACCCTGAAACCTGTTGGTGACATCAAACTAAAACTTCGACAGAGTTTTAGGGCCACAAGACTCCACAGTGCAGACTCCACATGTTGTTTTTTTATTCACTGATTTTCAAACATCAGAATCTGTTTTTACGGACGTCGTCGGCCCCGTCGTCGGCCCCGTCGTTGACCCCGTCGTTGACCCCCGTCCCTCCTCTCATGATCAGCTGGTTTTTGTCTCTCTGATTCGGACAGTTTTATCTCCTCAGTCTCTGCTCACAAACTTCAGAGCATGCTGCCTCTAATGTTACTAACATTTCATCACGCCGCCGCCGCCGCCTCCGCTAACCTCAGCCTCTCAGTCAGACTCACTTCCTGCAGAGGAAGGCTGAGCCGGACTTCATGGATCTGGTCCTGGGTGGTGTTTTTTTAAGGGTTATGGACTCTGAGGTGTGTCTGAGATGATCGACTGTTTTCTGACTCTTGGTTTCATGGTTACAGGAAACACCCGCTGCTGACCCTGATGAAGCGACCTTTGACCCTGTTGTCATGGGCGGAGGCTGCTCTCCTCAGCCCAAACAGAAACTATTTAAAGACCAGAGAAACCGGTCCAAAAAACAGGACCTGAAACCTTCAAACCAGACAGAGAGAGTGAAACCGCAGCTGCAGGACGAGTGTGGCGAGGAAGAGGAGGGTGAGGAGGAAGAGGAGGGTGAGGAGGGTGAGGGGCGGTCCGGTGAAGCTCAGCACGTCATCGAGGTGGAGATTAATATCATAGAAAACAGTGATGTCCAGAAAACACCCTCAAAACCAGTCCGTTATAAACGCAGATCCCCCGCCCCTCAGAGAGGGCGTAGGAAACCCCGCTCAGACTCAGCAGGAGGAGCAGGCGGAGACTCGGCCGCCAACACGGCGCCCAGCTCTCCGTCTCAGGCCTCCTTCATCTCTGAGAGCGCCGCTGAGGAGCTCTGCAACCTCAGGAACTACTACAGCAAACAGCTGCGGAGGATCAACTACATTTCCCATGAGTACCTGGGGCAGCCTGCAGAGACGGGAGTCCTGGCGTGTATCAGGGAGCCTCTGAGGAGCCTCCGTCTGCCGGGCAGGGTGACCATCGCCGAGACGGCCCGCAGCCTGTGGACCCGAGTCAGCGGCAGGAGGAAGCTGATCCACCGATGACGTCAGACAGACAGGTGTGTTTACAGAGACACCTGTCCACACCTGCTGTGACCTCAGAGGTCTGATCAGCTGACCCAGGTGAGCGACTCTGGAGCCTCCTGGTGTTTCTACCTCAGACTCATGGATGTGTTCAGGTTTTAGTAAGAAGGTTTAAAGGGATAATCCAGCGTAGAATTAATTTAGGGTCAAACCCACCGTAACACCGAGTTAGACAACCGTCGAGAGATGAATGTTGTCGACCGCTTGCTTCTCTAGTTATACAAGCTACTGTAGTAAAATGAAAAGGTAAAGGTGTTTTTATTGAGCTGAATTATCAATAAAATCATGATTTTGTTAACAGGTATGGATTTATGTGCTGTCGAGTTAATATATTTGAACAAGAGCACAGTAAAGTTAAATCAGCTAATTTTCCAATGAGGTTCTGTTACTGAACAGAACTACACCATGTTCTACTGAGGTTAGTACATATAGGGTCACAGACATAGTACTAGACACCAAACATCTTTTTAACTTTGACTCATTTCTTTAGCAAAGAGACTAAACACAACTCACCTACTCTCTTCCAGCAGACGCTTGTTTGTAGAGAGACCTCAGGCCAGTCTATTACAGACTACAGCGGGGTGCCGCAGCTCAAGGAAGAACGTTTATGATCATTTCTTCATGGAAATACAATCAGACTGAGACGCTAAGACAGAAGAACTACCGCGTCTGTAAAATGATTAATATGATTATTACTTCAAGGAAATGATAAAGAAATGATCATAAATGTTCCTCCTTGAGCTGTGGCACCCCGCTGTAGTCTGTAATGGACTGGTCTGAGGTCTCTCTACAAACAAGCGTCTGCTGGAAGAGAGTAGGTGAGTTGTGTTTCTGTTAAAAAATGAGACTGTTGTATCCTGCGGTCGTTACTAAAGTTGGTATAACTAGAGAAGTAAGCGGTCGACAACATTCATCTCTGGAGGGGGGGTCTAACTCGGTGTTACGGTGGGTTTGACCCTAAGTTAACTTTACGCTAGAATATCCCTTTAAATAATCAGATTGATCAGAGTTAATGGAGGAGAAGATCTCAGCTGTTCAGGAGAGACTTCTCTGATGTTTGAGTTAGTGTCTGTTTGTTTGTTTGTTTGTTCAGCTGCTGTAAATCCTTTCAGTTTGTTCCTGTATATTGATGATCAGAAAATACCATGACTTAATCAATAATAAAGGTTAGATCTTTTCTCATTATATTCTGTATTTTCTTTTTGTTTCATTGCCTTTATAGTGTTGTAATAATGCCGTTCATATTACAGCAGGTCAGATTCAGGGTCAGGGTTCAGGTCTGGGTTCAGGTCTGGGTTCAGGTCTGGGTTCAGGTCAGGGCTCAGGTCTGGGTTCAGGTCTGGGTTCAGGTCTGGGTTCAGGTCTGTGTGTAGGTCAGGATGCTTTGGTCAGTTCCTCTGCAGCAGGATGTGACTGAGTCTCCATCTGTAGTTTCGTTAGAAAACAGGAAATCTTGAGCAGACTTTTCTTCTTCTTCACGGAGCTGCTGATGTTTTTGTCTCCTCTCGTTGAGATTATTGTAACGCCCTGCTCTCTGGCCTCCCAAAAAAGAACTTACAGACACTTCAGGTTTTACAGAATTCAGCTGTAAGAGTTCTGACGAGGGTCAGAGGGCGAGTTTTAGCGTCGCTGCGTTGGCTCCCCGTCTGTTTCAGGATTGATTTTCAGGTTCTTCTTTTATTAGTTTTTAGATGTATTAATGGTCTTGGCTCCTCTTATTTATCTGACTTACTTTTATCATATAAAGCCTCACGACCTTTTAACCTTTGAACCCAAAGTTAAAACAAAAACACACGGGGAGGGAGGCGGCGCTCAGTTTCTCTGGTCCCCGGTTGTGGAACAGCCTGATGGAGATCCTCAGGACCACAGAGACTGTTGATGTTTTTAAGAAGAGGCTCCAGACTCACTTTTTTAACCAGGACTTTTCTCTAACTACCTTTTTATATTTCTCTTATTGCAAATGTTCATTTTAATCAAAATTCTTAATTTTTTCTTTAATGTCATTTTATTAATTATCTCTGTTCTTAGTCTTTTTTTAATTCCCATCATAGAGGTTTTTACTTCTTTTACCCCTTTTACATGGTAAAGCGCTCTTACTTATCTGTTCATTTAATATTATTTTATTATTTTAGTCCATCAGGTTTTACTCTTCCTTTGAACTATTTTTAATTAAATTTATTTTATTTTATTGTTTAAGTCCATCAGATTTTAGTCTTTCTTTTAACTATTTTTAATTAATTTTTATTTTATTTTATTGTTTTACTCCATCAGATTTTAGTCTTCATTTTAACTATTTTTAATTAATTAATTTATTTTATTTTCTTGTTTTCGTCCATCGGGTTTTACTTTTTCTTTTTAACATTTTATTTTTAATCTTTTATCTCCATGTTTCCTAAAGGTCGCTCCTTCCTCACTCATGTCTCGGTGCCGGGTCATCTCTCTTTAACTATATATCTAAAATTCTCACTCTGTGTGTGTTTGTGTGTGTGTATGTGTGGGTGAGTGAGTGACTGACTGAGGGTGGGTGTGTGTCTTTGTGTGTGTGTGTGTGTGGGTCCTGAAAAGTTCCGTATAAATAAAGTTGAATTTGAATTTGTGTTAGTGGAGCTGGAACAGCCGCCTGTGTCCGCCTGTTAGCCTGCAGCACCTCCACCTGTCAGAAGTCTGTTACTGCACCCACCTGCCTCCTCCTCCTCCTCTGCAGGGATGGAGAGTCACAGAACAAACGCTGCCCTCCATGAACCAGCATGTGAGGATTATTTCAGATATAATCCTCTCTGACAGCTTCATCTGGAGCTCCAGTCTGGATTATGTCCTAACCTTTGGTTCGTTTGTGATTGCTCATTAGTGAGGCGGACTCGTGGACATGTCCTCTCTCTGTGTCCTGATGAATCTCTGATAGTTTGAGTTCAGAAGGAGGCGAACATCTCTGAAACTCTGAGATCAGCAGGAGTGGAGACGTGAAGAAAACAGGAGAGCGTCGTCTTCCCTTTTAACTCCTTACCTCCTCTGCTCCTTTCCTCGACTCGCCCCCTCCTTCCTCGTCTCGGCTGCTTTTACTCCCATCTTCTCATTTCCTCCTCTCCTTCTCTTATTTCCTCTCCTAGTCTCCTCTCTCCTCCTGAAGTCTCCTTTAACCGCCAGAGTTGTTCCTTCACTCCCTGACAGCTGACTGATCAGCTGATGCCGTCATCTCACCCTTCTTTCCTCGTTCCCTCTCTCCTCTCTTCATACATCTCTGGTGGGAGGGAATAAGACACTAGTGAAGGATACAAGGATGCAAGTCTAGGGAGCAGGGAAATGGCTCTAGTCTTCCTTTGGTTTATTTCCTTTCTTAGTTTCCTTTCCTTAACTCCTTCTGTTCTCCTTTCCTCTTGTTTCCTTCATAGTTTTTATCACTTTGCCTCCTCTAATCCTCTCCTTGTATCCTAACCCTCTATCCTTGCTCCCTCTCCTCTTGTCCACTTCTGCCCTCACCTGTTGGTACCTGGATTTTGCTCTGGATGATGAAGATGATGAAGATGGTGACAGCTGGAGTCTGTGTGAATAGAACACTTCCTGTTGACTTCACGTATCTCGTCACCATCATCGTAAATTTACGACTTTAATCTCATAGATTCAGAATTTTCTCAGTTTTGTTCTCATAGATTTTCTGATTTAATCTCATGAATTAAAAACTTTATTCTCATTATAACGAACGAGACTAGAGCTGTAGATTAAAGACGTCAGTCTCAAAAATGAACCACTCTAATCTCCGAGATTAAAACTCTACTCTGGAGATGAGACTTTCTTCTCATCAGTTTTTAATATTCATATTTTAGTCTTGACTTTTTTAACTTTGATTGTTTAGATTTGTGATATTAACACCATAAATTTACATCTCTTAAAATAATAACTTTATCATATTTTTTGTGTGAATTTTTGAATAAGAACTTTAATCTTGTAAATCTAATTTAATCTAATTTACCTCATAAATCTTATTGATTAATAACTTTTTAATTTTTAATATTACAGCTTCATTCTCATAGATTTTGGATCTTCACTCGTATATTAACACGTCTTGTACATTTTTAATCTCAGTGTCGTGAATTTCAGACCTCTATCATGGATTATAAAACTCATAATTTTGGGGGTAAATCTGCTAAATTTACGACTTTAATCTCATAAATCTTGAAGTAAATTCTTGTGACTCTTTTCTGTGTTCAATTTATAATAATATTCTCATTAAATAAATGTTTTTTTTAATCTGTTGTATTTTCTTAATTGTTTTCAGTCGATTCTGTAAATTTCAGATTATAATCTCATGGACCTTTAACTGTATTCTGGTAATAACCGTCTCTCATTTTAATGTTGTTTTCTCAGTATATTTCCTCTGTGTTCTTGTTGTTGTCTGATGATAATCCCGTAAATGACCTCCACGTTAGTCCCCGACTCTCTGATGTTCCTCTGAACTCGTATTTCTCTGCTCCTGCTGTGACAGATCCAGGTCTTCCTGTTGGTCCAAACCCTGTTTCATGTCGAGTAAAAATATCTCCACAGATGAAACTCTCCGTCTGCAGACTGATTAATAAATCCGCCTCAAACATTTACACCTTTCCCTGGAGTTTGATCTGAGAGGAAGCTCCTGATCTCCTCCTCCTCCTCCTCCTCCTCCTCACACGCTGGATCTCCTGAGGTGAGGCTCCTGCAGAGATAACTCTCTGCTCCTCGGTCTGATCTGTGTTTTACATTTTAGCTTCTTGTTTCTTCACTTTTTATCTGCTGTTTCCTCAATTCTTTGTGTTTTTTTTTTAACCTCTTTTCTTCTTCAGGAGGATCCCTGCAGACGAGCCGCTCGCTCAAACTGTCAACATCAGAAAGAAGAAGAAGAAGCTGCTGTAGAGATGTGAGTCAGTTTAGACACACAAACACGAGCTGTGAACTCATCCTTCAACCCTGAACACACACACACACACACACACACACACATCCTCAGAGATGGATCTGAGCTCAGAGGTGGTTAATTCCTCAGGTGTGGATAAACCCTCTCACCTGTCGCTCTCTTCAGATAAACTCGGATCATGTCGTGTGGAGGATGATTTTTTTTGTTGTTGTTGTTGTTGATGAACGTGAAGAAAACAGGGATAAAAAAACTGCAAACAAAACAGGCTGAAATATTGATGAACAGACTGAAAATACTGATTTATCCTAAATATTCATTCAGAGATCAGTCAGGATTATAAATCCTGATTTAACGACTGAAATCCTTTTATCGCCTTTTGTATCATATTCGACACATAATTTTATAAACTTCCATCAAATCAATATGATCAACAAATGACTAAAAAAACACCTGAATACAGTCTGATAGATGATAAAAACGTCCTCTTGTAGTTTATAAGTTTCCAAAAACATCTAATGTATCAAACGAGATCAATAAATATATTTGTTCAATTTTTAAAGGTGGTGTAGACATGTAAGACCACATGGATCCATGACCCAGACGGAGCGGTAACATGACATCCAGCAGAAACAGACACAATAAAGACAAACAGACGAGGTGATTTCAGTGACTCAGTTTGAGGATTTTTATGATTTTTTTACCCACAATCAGAGCTGAGTCAGAAACATCCAAACAGTCGGACTAATAAATGTGATTATTATTATTAGAGTGATTGAAAAGCTCATAACAACATGTAGATCTGTCCAAAGTCTGATTCTAGATGTCTTTACAAACACACTGATCCAACAGAAGCAGACAGAAATATCCATCGATCACATGAACACAAATATTCAGCAAACAGAGAAAGAAACAGATCATCTGAAGAGTTTTTGGGGACGACTGGAAAGACTTTAGACGCTTGGATTTGGGACAGGAAATAAGGTCGTCCTTTTTCTGTGATTTTGACCTCACTTTTTTCTAAAGTCTCAGACCTTCAACATCTGCACCAACTGAAGGTGATTTGAACAAACCATCATCTTGATGTTGTTGATATCAAACTTGATGAAGATTTTTCAACATGAGAAATACAAACAATCAAAGTTCTCCACAATCACTGTCCTTAAAGCTGCGACCAAATCAGCATCTTTAGAAAAGAATCAAAAAGCTGAAATGAAGAACTAAACCCAGAGTTTTTGGTGAGACTGATCCACAAACATTTACAAACCAGAACATTTCAAGAGTTCAAGGATCTCAGTCCATGATTTTGGTCTGATGGACTCAAAATTCTCTTTACTTCACTTCTATAAACTCAGCAGAGTCTCCATCACTGCAGCCTAACATCAGTCCAGCATGTAGAGGTTCAGTGAATGTGGTCTGGACTCTGTGGAGGAGAGTCATGGTTTCAGAGACGCTGTAGAAGGACAGAATACCTGCTCTGTGATCCAGGTACACTCCTACTCTGGAGGACGGAGGAACTGAGACACGAGTGAAGACTCTGTTGTGAATAAATCCATACCTGTCTTTAGAACAGACTAACGTCCAAGATTTGTTATTGTTTCCAAAGAAACTTTTTTCTAACCCCCTTTCTCTCCTGATAGTCTTGTATGCGACTGCTACACTAACCCCGCCCCCTCTCCAGTCCACCTCCCAGTAACAACGTCCAGTCAGACTCTCTCTACTCAGGACCTGAACATAATAATAAGTGAATCTGTCTGGATGATCAGGATAAGACTGTAGTCGTTTTGTAAATGTTGCTCTTCTGTTTCCATCAGATAATTTCAGTCGTCTGTTTACTGTGTTTGGATCCAGTGTGATTCTTTGTGAATATCTTAAGAAACCAGCTCTGGTCTTGGGTTCTGCTGGTCCTGGTTCTGGTTCTAACAGTAAAACATCCACATCAGTCACTGCCTGTGAGACGTTTGTCCACGTCTCTGTCAGAAGATCCTGGAGTTTCTCTCTGAGCTCTGACACAGCTGCTGTCACCTCCTCAAAGTATCTCAGAGGACGGATGTTGATCCTGGATGAGTCTGCAGGTTGACCCGGTTCTGACAGTGAGGGGTAGCTGTGCAGAAACTGGTTGTGGTCCTCTGTGAGTGAGAGCTTCTGCAGATCAGCGTCTTTCCTCTTCAGCTCAGTGATCTCCTGCTCCAGTTTCTCCTGAAGTTCTTTGACTCGACTCACTTCACGTTCCTGCTGGGATCTGACCTGCTGCTCCACGTCAGAGCGGCGTTTCTCCATCAGACGGATCAGCTTGGTGAAGATCTCCTGGCTGTGCTCCACAGCTTTATCAGCAGAGCCGTTGATAGCCTCCACCTCCTGTTGGAGCAGCTTCACATCTTCTTCTCTGTCCTGGATTCTCTGCTGGATGTTTTCTCGACTCTCCTCCAGCTTCTTGGAGGGCTCCACCAGCTTGTGTTTCTTTAATGGAGTAACTTCATAATGAGGCTGGAGGTGAATCTGACAGTAAGAAGCCAGACATCGCAGACAGGACTTGACAGATTTCCGTTTTCTCCCACTGCAGGAATCACAGGCCACATCTTCAGGTCCAGCCTCAGAGGAACCATCAGGAGCAGCTTGGAGTCCGCTCTTCTTCACTTCCTCCACTAAACCTGCTAACATGGTGTTTTTCTTCAGGACAGGCCTCGGTCTGAAAGTCTCTCTACACTGAGGACAGCTGTAGATCATCTTCTCATCCTCATTATCCCAGTGGGATTGAATACAGCTCATGCAGAAGCTGTGTCCACAGGAAACAGTCACCGGATCCTTCAGAAGATCCAAACAGATGGAACAAGAGAAAGACTCACGGTCCAGATGAACTCCTTTCTGCGCCATTTCAACACTCGCTGTCGACGACGACTGACTGAGTTTTATTTCCTGAGAAGTGAAACTAGTCTGAGCTCTGATCTCAACAACATGTGTGAGTCAACAGGATATGACCTCAGCACACGGAGGTTATACCCAACCTTAGACTGTAGATCTGAGGGGGGGAGGGAGGAAGGAAGTGAGAGTGCAGAATGGAGTGAGCTGTGTGAGAGACGGGGGGGGGGGGGGCAGTTTATCTACAGTCAAGGAAGAGGAGCATCTCTGTGATCTTTAGACCCTCAAACTAAAACAATCAGAAGTTCTTAAAGCTGCAGCCGTCCTGAAGATCAACTGAACCAACATTTATTGACCTCATAGAAACCTCATCGAGCAGAAACACTTCCACTGTTTTATCCTGATGTCCTCACATAGTTAACCCTCGGAGCATCTTGGCGACGAAAGTGGTCATTTTGGGTGTTTTTTTTGTTCTTCTCTCAGTAACCCGGTCAGTTTAAAGGCTAGCTGTATGAAATTTTGGCACTATTTTTTTTCATTTTTATTTCCTTAATTCCAAAAACCTGTGTACTGGAAGTGTTTAGAATAGGAGATCTGCATCACACCGACACCTGTTACCCTTGTGGCCACATGTGGCCAATTGACTCCCATTATAACCACATATTTGTCATACGCTATAATCCTAACATATTTCAATTTTTTTTTCTATTTATACCTAATAGATCTAAGCTTTTATCTTCAATATTTAGGGAAAATATGTTTTAGGTGTAATGACCCCCTTTAACAACCAGAGGCCCTTACATAAAGTTTTGGGGAAATTTCAGTGAAGGCCTGGGTTTCTTACCTCGCAAAATGCATAGAAATAACAAAGCTAAACACCATAAGATGGCCTTGGTCTATTAGCAGTGATATAAAATAGTGGTTTGAATATGAATGAGGAAAAAAAACATCAACAGAGCCCTTATGACCTGGGATTTTTGATTTTCATCTAAAGGGTCCATCTGTAAGGGAATAATCAGCCCTCCAGACTCTCAGATGAATCCTCAAAATTCACCTCAGAGTACTGCAAGATACACATGCACACACACACACTCCCTCTCTCTCTCCCTCTCTCTCTCTCTCTTCTCTCTCTCTCCCTCTCTCGCCCTCTCTCTCTCTCTCTCTCTCCTTCTCTCTCTCTCTCTTCCTTTCCTCTCTCTCTCTCTCCCTCTCCCTCTCTCTTTCTCTCTCTCTTCTCTCTCTCTCCCTTTCCTCTCTCTCTCTTTCTCTCCCTCCCTCTCCCCCTCTCTCTCTCCCCCTCTCTCCCTCTCTCCCTCTCTCTCTGCCCCCCCTCCCTCTCTCTCTCTCCCTCTCTCTCTCTCTCTCTCTCTCTCCCTCTCTCTCCCTCTCTCTCTCTCTCTCTCTCCCTCTCTCTCTGCCCCCCCCTCTCTCTCTCTCTCTCTCTCTCTCTCTCTCTCTCCTCTCTCTTTGCCCCCCCTCTCTCTCTCTCTCTCTCTCTCTCTCTCTCTCTCTCTCTCTCTCTCCCTCTCTCTCTGCCCCCCCCCCTCTCTCTCTCTCTCTCTCTCCCTCTCTCTCTGCCCCCCCCTCTCTCTCTCTCTCTCTCTCTCTCCCTCTCTCTCTCTCTCTCTCTCCCTCTCTCTCTGCCCCCCCCCCCCTCTCTCTCTCTCTCTCCCACTAAGGTGATCTTCTCTAGTGTTCCCAGCTGAGCCGTGGTCTCTCACAGATGTCAGGTCTAGATGATCCTAAATCAGAGGAATGAGGATCTTAATCTGCTCTAATCTGAGGGTTGATGACTTTGACTCTCGTTGATGTCACCTCTGAAAACTCTCGGACCCTAACAAACCTCAGCCCTGACACTGACACGGGGCTCTGAATCTGTATCGTTCCGATTAAATTCAGATATAATGCAGATAAATCCTTCAGATCATTACAAATGGGGCCCAGTCAAGGTGAAAGTCAAAAGCATTGGTGCTACTGTAGATGCCAACAGACTACCAGCAAACACAATGTTTGCAGGACTTCTACAACGAGGATAAAGTGACATAGTCCAGAACCCGAGGGAGGACAGTTTAGCGATGGCGCTACAACACGCTACAGCAGGTCCGTTTGACAAGAAACACTTCTGTTACAGACACTTGTCTTACTTTGTTAAAGCGGTTTACCTGTCCAGCAGAAAGGTTACAGGGTCACCAAGATCCCCAAGCGTCCCCCATCGTTTATGTTGACCCGGCTTTTTAGCTCTTGTCCGGTCTACCTTCGTTTTAAGCGCCCGTTATTCCTCCAGAGTCTCCGGTATTTACTTTGTTTTCTTGCTTGTGTCGGCAGTCGTGGCCAAAGGAGGATTCAGACAATTTTCCGAACTTTCTGGTTGGTTTCTACTGTCCGATATTGTAGCACGCTAACTTTGTTTGGGCTCCTGAACGACACGGGGGAGCAGCGTTTTCTTGTTGACTGTTTTCTTGTTGCCTGTTTTTTGTTGACTGTTTTGGTGTTGACCGGTTTGGTGTTGACTGTTTTCTTGTTGACTGATTATAGTTGACGTTTTCTTGCTGACTGTTTTCTTGTTGAATGTTTTGGTGTTGACTGTTTATGGTTGACTGTTTTCTTGTTGACTGTTTTTTGCTGACTGTTTTCTTGTTGACTGTTTTTTGTTGACTGTTTTTTGTTGACTGTTTATGGTTGACGTTTTCTTGCTGACTGTTTTCTTGTTGACTGTTTATGGTTGACTGTTTTCTTGTTGACTGTTTTCTTGTTGACTGTTTTTTGCTGACTGTTTTCTTGTTGACTGTTTTTTGTTGACTGTTTATGGTTGACGTTTTCTTGTTGACTGTTTTCTTGTTGACTGTTTATGGTTGACTGTTTTCTTGTTGACTGTTTTCTTGTTGACTGATTATGGTTAACTGTTTTCTTGCTGACTGTTTTATGTTGACTGTTTTGGTGTTGACCATTTTCTTGTTAACCGGTTTGGTGTTGACTGTTTTCTTGCTGACTGTTTTCTTGCTGACTGTTTATGTTTGAGTGTTTTCTTGCTTGTGTCGGCAGTCGTGGCCAAAGGAGGATTCAGACAATTTTCCGAACTTTCTGGTTGGTTTCTACTGTCCGATATTGTAGCACGCTAACTTTGTTTGGGCTCCTGAACGACACGGGGGAGCAGCGTTTTCTTGTTGACTGTTTTCTTGTTGCCTGTTTTTTGTTGACTGTTTTGGTGTTGACCGTTTTCCTGTTGACCGGTTTGGTGTTGACTGTATTGGTGTTGACTGTTTATGGTTGACTGTTTTCTTGTTGACTGTTTTCTTGTTGACTGATTATAGTTGACGTTTTCTTGCTGACTGTTTTCTTGTTGACTGTTTTCTTGCTGACTGTTTTCTTGCTGACTGTTTTCTTGCTGACTGTTTTCTTGTTGACTGTTTTGGTGTTGACTGTTTATGGTTGACTGTTTTCTTGTTGACTGATTATAGTTGACGTTTTCTTGCTGACTGTTTTCTTGTTGACTGTTATCTTGCTGACTGTTTTTTGTTGACTGTTTTGGTGTTGACTGTTTATGGTTGACTGTTTTCTTGTTGACTGATTATAGTTGACGTTTTCTTGCTGACTGTTTTCTTGTTGACTGTTATCTTGCTGACTGTTTTTTGTTGACTGTTTTTTGTTGACTGTTTTCTTGTTGACTGTTTTTTGTTGGCTGTTTATGGTTGACGTTTTCTTGCTGACTGTTTTCTTGTTGACTGTTTATGGTTGACTGTTTTTTGCTGACTGTTTTCTTGTTGACTGATTATGGTTGACGTTTTCTTGCTGACTGTTTTCTTGTTGACTGTTTTCTTGTTGACTGTTTTCTTGCTGACTGTTTTCTTGTTGACTGTTTTGGTGTTGACTGTTTATGGTTGACTGTTTTCTTGACTGATTATAGTTGACGTTTTCTTGCTGACTGTTTTCTTGTTGACTGTTATCTTGCTGACTGTTTTTTGTTGACTGTTTTGGTGTTGACTGTTTATGGTTGACTGTTTTCTTGTTGACTGATTATAGTTGACGTTTTCTTGCTGACTGTTTTCTTGTTGACTGTTATCTTGCTGACTGTTTTTTGTTGACTGTTTTTTGTTGACTGTTTTCTTGTTGACTGTTTTTTGTTGGCTGTTTATGGTTGACGTTTTCTTGCTGACTGTTTTCTTGTTGACTGTTTATGGTTGACTGTTTTTTGCTGACTGTTTTCTTGTTGACTGATTATGGTTGACGTTTTCTTGCTGACTGTTTTCTTGCTGACTGTTTTCTTGCTGACTGTTTTCTTGTTGACTGTTTTGGTGTTGACTGTTTATGGTTGACTGTTTTCTTGTTGACTGATTATAGTTGACGTTTTCTTGCTGACTGTTTTCTTGTTGACTGTTATCTTGCTGACTGTTTTTTGTTGACTGTTTTGGTGTTGACTGTTTATGGTTGACTGTTTTCTTGTTGACTGATTATAGTTGACGTTTTCTTGCTGACTGTTTTCTTGTTGACTGTTATCTTGCTGACTGTTTTTTGTTGACTGTTTTTTGTTGACTGTTTTCTTGTTGACTGTTTTTTGTTGGCTGTTTATGGTTGACGTTTTCTTGCTGACTGTTTTTTGTTGACTGTTTTGGTGTTGACTGTTTATGGTTGACTGTTTTCTTGTTGACTGATTATAGTTGACGTTTTCTTGCTGACTGTTTTCTTGTTGACTGTTATCTTGCTGACTGTTTTTTGTTGACTGTTTTTTGTTGACTGTTTTCTTGTTGACTGTTTTTTGTTGGCTGTTTATGGTTGACGTTTTCTTGCTGACTGTTTTCTTGTTGACTGTTTATGGTTGACTGTTTTTTGCTGACTGTTTTCTTGTTGACTGATTATGGTTGACGTTTTCTTGCTGACTGTTTTCTTGTTGACTGTTTTCTTGCTGACTGTTTTCTTGCTGACTGTTTTCTTGTTGACTGTTTTGGTGTTGACTGTTTATGGTTGACTGTTTTCTTGTTGACTGATTATAGTTGACGTTTTCTTGTTGACTGTTTTTTGTTGACTGTTTTTTGTTGACTGTTTATGGTTGACGTTTTCTTGCTGACTGTTTTCTTGTTGACTGTTTATGGTTGACTGTTTTCTTGTTGACTGTTTTCTTGTTGACTGTTTTTTGCTGACTGTTTTCTTGTTGACTGTTTTTTGTTGACTGTTTATGGTTGACGTTTTCTTGTTGACTGTTTTCTTGTTGACTGTTTATGGTTGACTGTTTTCTTGTTGACTGTTTTCTTGTTGACTGATTATGGTTGACGTTTTCTTGCTGACTGTTTTCTTGTTGACTGTTATCTTGCTGACTGTTTTTTGTTGACTGTTTTTTGTTGACTGTTTTCTTGTTGACTGTTTTTTGTTGGCTGTTTATGGTTGACGTTTTCTTGCTGACTGTTTTCTTGTTGACTGTTTATGGTTGACTGTTTTTTGCTGACTGTTTTCTTGTTGACTGATTATGGTTGACGTTTTCTTGCTGACTGTTTTCTTGTTGACTGTTTTCTTGTTGACTGTTTTCTTGCTGACTGTTTTCTTGTTGACTGTTTTGGTGTTGACTGTTTATGGTTGACTGTTTTCTTGTTGACTGATTATAGTTGACGTTTTCTTGCTGACTGTTTTCTTGTTGACTGTTATCTTGCTGACTGTTTTTTGTTGACTGTTTTGGTGTTGACTGTTTATGGTTGACTGTTTTCTTGTTGACTGATTATAGTTGACGTTTTCTTGCTGACTGTTTTCTTGTTGACTGTTATCTTGCTGACTGTTTTTTGTTGACTGTTTTTTGTTGACTGTTTTCTTGTTGACTGTTTTTTGTTGGCTGTTTATGGTTGACGTTTTCTTGCTGACTGTTTTCTTGTTGACTGTTTATGGTTGACTGTTTTTTGCTGACTGTTTTCTTGTTGACTGATTATGGTTGACGTTTTCTTGCTGACTGTTTTCTTGTTGACTGATTATGGTTAACTGTTTTCTTGCCGACTGTTTTACGTTGACTGTTTTGTTGTTGACCATTTTCTTGTTAACCGGTTTGGTGTTGACTGTTTTCTTGTTGACTGTTTTCTTGTTGACTGATTATAGTTTACGTTTTCTTGCTGACTGTTTTCTTGCTGACTGTTTTCTTGACTGTTTTCTTGTTGACTGTTTTCTTGTTGACTGTTTTCTTGTTGACTGTTTATGGTTGACTGTTTTCTTGTTGACTGTTTTCTTGTTGACTGATTATGGTTAACTGTTTTCTTGCCGACTGTTTTATGTTGACTGTTTTGGTGTTGACCGTTTTCCTGTTGACCGGTTTGGTGTTGACTGTTTTCTTGCTGACTGTTTTCTTGCTGACTGTTTATGTTTGAGTGTTTTCTTGCTTGTGTCGGCAGTCGTGGCCAAAGGAGGATTCAGACAATTTTCCGAACTTTCTGGTTGGTTTCTACTGTCCGATATTGTAGCACGCTAACTTTGTTTGGGCTCCTGAACGACACGGGGGAGCAGCGTCTGCCTCACAACCAATCAGGTTAGAGGAGGTGGAGAATGTCTTTGTTTACAGTCAGAAAGAGCGGACCGCTCAAAAATGTTCAAATGTTGACGACACAGACAGAGGAGAACACAGAGATATCGATATATTACCAAATGTCATCAATAACTAATCACTATTGACTGATATTAGAAGATTTTTTGTATTAAAACCACAAAATAAAAAGAAGCTTCTTTAACAGAATTCTGTCTACCCCACCTTTAAGGACATTTTGATTATTTTGGTTTTCAGTATTAAATGAAATAAACATTTCAGCTCAGTTCTGATGATCATGTTTTAAAGATCCTGAGGGACTAAATTAGGATCCAAACTGAGATCTGACTCAGAGGGTACCTGGTTCCTGGAACTACGAGGGAGTCTCTGTAATCAGTTTAGGATCACCAGTTCACCTCATGAACGGATTTCTGGACTTTGAGAGGAAGCCCAGGAGACCCACGAGGACCCACACATGCAGGAGGAGAACACACAAACTCCACAGAGAGAAAGGTTCCTGTCTGGTCGGAGATTTGAACCAGGAACCTTCTCGCTGTGAGAGAAAGTGAATCATCAGCAGCTTCTTCTTCAGTGAGTCCAAAAGAGTAAACTGTCTGACACCTCCTCTGTCTGTGTGTGTGTGTGTGTGTGTGTGTGTGTGTGTGTGTGTGTGTGTGTGTGTGTGTCCTCTGTCTGAACCCTCTCTGTCTCAGAGCGGCTGACTGATCTCAGATCAGCGCAGAATCAGTCAGTAAGCTGAAGGTCTGATGATGAAGCAGAAGCTCCTCGTCAGTTCCCTCAGACTCAGGTTCAGGTTCAGCTCTGCGGTTCGACCTTCCTCCACCAGAGGGCGCTGTTCCCCACTCTGTGAGCCGGCTGAACTCTTCCACCCCGGTGCTGCTCGGTATTCTGCAGCCGTGTGTGTAATTGTTTTGTATTTAGTGAGTGTTTCAGAAGAGTGAAGCAGACGATGAGCGCTGACTGCAGATGCTGAGAGATTTGTCTGAGTTTGACCCTCAGAGAGACTTCTGGATTTAAATGATTTCTGTCATTATCAGGGAGCTGAAACCCCAAATCCTCTGTCATGTTGGATAAAATGTCCACCTAATGGACTGTGAGACGGGCTCAGAGCTACTTCATCTTTATTGATTTGCTCTTTGGGAAAGTTTTTGGACTCATAAGAGACAGATCTGAGACGGGGAAGGTTTATATCAGCCCTGCAGAGACAGAGATCCTTTTAGCTCCTGGAGATATGATGTGATTTTAATCTGACTTCATGATGTTTCCTCCTAATACGCTGAGAAACGTCTGCTGTCCGACATCGGCACCACAGACGAACACCGAACAACTCTCTGACCCGTTCACAGACAGGAAACATGGCGGTGATTGTTCGGGGTTTGAGCTCGGTCTCAGGGAAACGATTACCTTTCATTAGTCCTCTTAAAGCTCCTGTGAGGACTTCCTGGTGGTTAGGAAATAGACAGTGATGATTCTCTACGATGAACAAAAGCTAAATGAGAAAATTTGTGACGACACTGACGACTTTTTATTGCTGTGACATGTGCTATGTGCTGTTTCCCACTGTAAAAGGACAACAGTGTTCACTTTCACAAGAATACAATGAAATCAGCAATAATGCAAGAGTTCCCACTTTGTCCACAGGGGGCGCCAAAGTCAACAGAGACAGAAAATTCCTTACTGGAGCTTTAAAAAGTGGGAAAACAGCAGTGAAAAAAAACACAAAGGACCTTTGACTCTTAATTTGTGTACTTGTGTTATTTTTAAAACAATCTGTGCGTGTCTGTTACCTGCACAGGTACAGGTGACAGGTGAGGATATCAATAATCAGATTGATTTGGACTCAAGGTCCTAAGAGTTGAAAAGGACATCTCCATTAAAGAAAGATGAGGAGCGTCTGATTGTCTGAAAAACTGTGTGTGTGTGTGTGTGTGTGTGTGTGTGTGTGTGTGTGTGTGTGTGTGTGTGTGACCTCTGAGTGAAAACAAACTCTGTTCAGATCCAGCAGACCTCCATCACTGAAACTTTAAAAGGATATTCCAGTGTAAAATTAATTTGGGCACCTCAACACTGAGGTCTCTCTACAAACAAGCGTCTGCTGGAAGAGAGTAGGTGAGTTGTGTTTAGTCTCTTTGCTAAAGAAATGAGTCAAAGTTAAAAAGATGTTTGGTGTCTAGTACTATGGCTGTGACCCTATATGTACTAACCTCAGTAGAACATGGTGTAGTTCCGTTCAGTAACAGAACCTCATTGGAAAATTAGCCGATTTAACTTTACTGTGCTCTTGTTCAAATATACTAACTCGACAGCACATAAATCCATACCTGTTAACAAAATCATGATTTTATTGATAATTCAACTCAATAAAAACACCTTTACCTTTTCATTTTACTACAGAAGAAGTTTATTGGCCCAGCTTATAGACCACAGAGGTGGAGAAACGCCCCCGCTTAAGTTTGTTTTCTTAGGAGTTAGAACAACTGTGAATATAGTACTATGGCTGTGACCCTATATGTCCTGTTGATGAAGTTAGGTGCTGTTCTGAGCATTATTTGTGGCTATAGAGTGGCGTTTTGGTTGAGGGCGTGTCTCTCTGTATTTCTATCCTGCGGTCGTTACTAAAGTTGGTATAACTAGAGAAGCAAGCGGTCGACAACATTCATCTCTTGAGGGGGTGTCTGACTCGGTGTTACGGTGGGTTTGACCCTAAATTAACTTTATGTCGGAATATCCCTTTAAGGTGCATTCATGCTCTAAACCTCTAAAGAGTCCTCTCCATTGACAGTTCACAGATCTGGGCCAAACGTTGCAGTGCCACCTGTAATCAGAGGGGGCAGTGTTGAGCAGCATAGCCCACATTTAAATTGGACTAAAGTCAGATACTGTAGATCAGATCTGAAGTGTGCTTCATGACAGCAGGTGGAACAGCTGTTACCGGTTACAGTCATCTCTCTGTGATCAGAGAAGAGCAGCTCTTACCGCCTGTTTCTCTGCTGCTGTTACTGCAGGTAAAACACCTGAAAATGGACTCTGTGGTTAGTGGACTGAGTTCAGGTCTGTTCACACCTCCATGATGGAGAGAGAGAGGAGAGACAGATGTTCAGCAGGCCGTGATTAAAAGTGAGATAGCAGCAAATGGAGAGAGAGTCATTAATCAATGTGAACACACACACACACACACACACACACACACACAAACACACACACAGATACAGTAGTAGTTTCTCCCCGTCCTGAATGACCTCATGGTAAGGAGGAGAAGGGGGAGGGTGTCAGGCTCTTACATAAGTCCAGCCTCCCCCCCGCCCGGAGCAGCAGAGCGATCGATAAGGCCGAGCTCAGAGGGAGACGAGGAGGCAGGAGGAGGAGGAGACAGACCTGATCAAACGATCCCGAGGGAGAGAGCCAGAGCCAGCAGGGGAGAGGATTATCACGGCTGTCAGTGAATATGACACGGCGTGCTAATTAGACATGACTGGTTAGAGCGATTAGCAGAGGCAGTCAAAGGGGCAGTCAGTCACTGAAGACAGAGGAGAAGCTGCTGTCAGGAGTGAGACAGGGGACAAAAACTGGACCAACAAACTCTGAGTTTGATTATTACAGCAGAAGAAAGTCTGAGTTAGACAAAAACTGAACCCTAAACTCTAAGTTTGATTATCACAGAAGAAAGTCTGAGTTAGACAAAAACTGAACCCACAAACTCTGAGTTTGATTATTGCAGCAGACAGAGTCTTTAACGTGCCCCTAAAAACCACAACTTTGGACTTTTGAAGGAGGAGCCGGTTCAGAAGAGTCTACTAAAGACTGAGGGACAGTATAGAGATGGTCAGTATAGAGACGGTCAGTATAGAGATGTGAGAATAGAGACAGTCAGTATAGAGATGGTCAGTATAGATACAGCCAGTGTAGAGACTGTCAGTGTAGAGACGGGCAGTATAGAGCTAGTCAATGTTAAGATATCAGTCTGGATACAGTCAGTGTAGAAACAGACAGTATAGAAATGTCAGTATATAGATGGTCAGTATAGAGCTTGGTGATAATCAGTATAGATACGGTCATTGTAGATATGGTCAGTATAGAAACGGTCATTATAGAGAAGGGAATGTAGATATCGTCACTGTAGAGACGGTCAGTATAGATATGGTCAGTATAGAGATGTCAGTATAGAGACGGTTAGTGTAGAGATGTTCAATATAGAGATAGTCAGTGTAGAGCTTGGTTATGGTCAGTATAGATGCGGTCAATGTAGAGATGTGAGAATAGATAGAGTCAGTATAGATACAGTCAGTGTAGAGATGGTCAGTATAGATACGGTCAGTATAGATCCTGTCAGCGTAGAGCTTGGTGATAATCAGTATAGATATGGTCATTGTAGAGACGGTCAGTGTAGAGCTTGGTTATGGTCAGTATAGATCCAGTCAGTGTAGAGATGGTCAGTATAGATCCGGTCAGCGTAGAGCTCGGTGAGGGTCTTGTTCTGTAGTTTTTGTCCTAAACTGATGCAGGTGTGTGAGGACAGCGATAAGACTGTCATCTATCCAGAGTCTGGACCCGTCCTGAGAACAACATCAGGATGTGAGGGTCACTGTTACTGGAGCTGAGACATGTGTGGAAAGTTCTGAAAGGCTCCTGACCTTTGACTTTAGACCAGGCTGTTGTTGGGCTGAGGTACAGATGTTGTTTACCTCCTTAAATCTCACAGAGGACTGTTAAAGTAAACTGAAATAAATCCAAAGTCCTCGAATAAAACAGAAGATTTTAACTGTCAGCTCCATGTGAGCCATCATTCTCCTCTCCTGACAGACGAGCGCGAGTTTAATTCTGTCTTTTTTAGCCCAAACTTGACTAATCTCCTGTTGTTTGTTCCCTCAGGAACAGTGAAAGGACTAAATTAAAAAGTCTACATCCATACAAATGAAGCTCATTCGTTCTGCTCATTAAACATAAAACGCTGAAACACTTTCACAGTTTGTAGCCTTTCAGCTTATTAGCAGCCGTGGCTTTGTCTTTACACAAACAAGCTGATTTGTATGTGACCAGAGCGCTTACAGATATACGCTGAGGTGCTGTAGAGATAATTGAACCTGTTAGGCAGAGAGCAGGGCACAGGAAACACCTGTGGAGCTGAAAAGGAGAAACACGTGGAGAACTGCTGTCAGGAACCCTGCAGGAACACGGAGAGATGTTCACACGTATTCAACCCTCTGTGGATATGATTAGACTTTAACATCTATGTGTGTGTGTGTGTGTGTGTGTGTGTCTGCTGCACAAAGACACTGTTTGCCTATGAGCAGTTAAGCCAATCAGAACAGATCTCTGACCTTCTGAGGAACCAATCAAATTCGTCTGATGAGGGCGTAGCCTCTGGGTACAAAGATCAACTCTTCAGACACTTCGCTGAAGCTTCATCAGGTCAGTCCTCGAACCTTTAAGGTGTGTGTTTGTCAGGTGGAGGTCAGATCATCATTCCTGATGTGTTCAGGGAAGTCTGTAAATCTGAACTCTGATGGTCTCTGAATCAGTCAGAGCTCAGCTGACCTTCATACAGAGACAGAAACCCTCCTCAGATCACCAACCACAGGAGCTGGAGGTCATGATGGAGGTCATGATGGAGGACTGGGCTCCTCCTGCTTTTGCTCTCCGTACAGACTGACCACATTGATATCCAAGTTCACGTGAATCACTCAGTACGTTTACATCGGACTAAGATCATGACTTGTTTTTTTTCGCTGAATCGGAGTTTACATGCAGCTGAGAAAATCGACGTGAACATGTCCTCCTTCCCAACACTAGGGGGCGATATGGGTCTTTTCAGCGGCGCTGTTTCCGACCCCATCCAACCGTCAACAACAACAGCAGGTCGGTGTCAGACGTCAGAAGTGTCTACAACTGCTGCTGGGCGTTTTGGAGAAACAAGAAGATGGAGCATCGTACAGCATTGTTTTTGTCCGACATGATGGACGCGCTACTTTTTCTAAAGAGGAGACCAACGCTACTCCTCTACTCTGGGGGTTTGTTACGGGGTTACGGGGGTGTGGCGTCATACTCCGACTACGCTGGTTACATGGTAGAGAAAATCGAATTCCAATCACATTATCTGGGAGTCTTAATCAGAGTTCTTAAACGCTGACTAACCCAGGATTTCCACCGCGTTTTTCGCCATCCTCCAGTTCCTACCGGATCCGTTTGTGAGGCGAATTTCATGGCGGATTACAGACAGCAGGAATCACGAGAACTCAAGAACCCGCAGATTCACGTTCAATCCCACGATAACGAGTTGTCTTTCTAAAGACAGACACATAGACATATAAGCAGTAGATTGTGTCCTTCCAGAGGAGGAAATCTACTTCTAGACTTCTAGAATCAGCATCTCCTCATCAATGGTGTCATCGGGGTGAAATGGCGTCTAAAAACCTTCCACTTGTTCGTCTCCGCCCGTTTGCATGGTGTGAAATACGATCCTCCTGAAACACAGAGTGTTTTATTTTGAAAAGAAGCAGGATGTTTTATTTTGTGTCTGTGCCCGACTTCCTTTCCAGAAGTCGGTGTAAATTGACACGTTAACTTGAATGGTTACGATCAGCTACGATCGGAGGATACGACCTTTTAGGAGACGATCAGGATGAAGGTGGAGATTAGGGGTAAGGTGTTTACATGCACTTCAGCTGTCCGGTCTTAATCGGAGTACAGTAATAATTTCATTTTCTCGAGTGCCGTGGAAACGTTCTGAGTGATGGACCTTACTAACCAGTTAGCGTAGATGTTGGCTGATCATACCAGGACCCCAAACTCTGCAGTATAGCAGCCA